CCTTTTTGAGAGAGTGTGCCAAAACCAGTCAAATCTCTGACACAAAATTTTTCCACATGCCAACAAAAAGTTTTGAGAACATATTATTTGATGTGAAGATTTTTTTTTAAATGATAAAAAATCACCCAGAGCAGTAAAGACACGGTATTGTAAGAAATTATGTAAATCATGTAAAACTGACTGAATGAAAAAATTCTGACAGATTTTTAGAGAAATGTTTTTAGTGATATTTTCTATTAGCCTGTAAGTATAAATGTAACTATCATACATGCTCACACAATTTAAAGACGCTATTAACTATTATTAGCATCAACACAAAAAGTTAACATTATTTTATTTCGATTAATCAATCATCATTTTTTCCCAGTTATACATTTTTATGAGTAAAACACTGTTAAAGGTTATTAAAATAATCTTTTGCTAATTTTAAATCCCTTATAAATGATGTACAAAAAACAAACAAGATTTACAAGCATATATAGGTGAAAACATGGATAGTAATGCTGTTGCAAGTTTTTTTAACCATACAAATTTTCTGGAATGGTAGTCTGTCCTTAATACTTCATTTTCCACATTTCTCTCTCATACTCCCATCTCTAATCACTTTTCAATATTTTCTAAGTCAACTCTAAGGTCAACAAATTTCTACTTCCAGATTGAACTACTCAGAAATTCAGTCAACTGCATTTTAAAATTATCCATGTCTGTCCATGAGAACATTTGCAAATTTAGTTCATCCAGTTTGATACTGTCTGGAAACTTAACGAGTTTTGCTGTCTTTTCCAGTTCTCTGAATTTATCAAATCTTGTAAAGAACTTCTCAACAGTTGCTTTGATGATGTTTACAAATGGCTTTTAGGAGAAAGTGGTAGCCTGTTCTGTCATATTTTGTGAGATCATTTATGTACCTCTTTAGGTTTGGGAAGTATCTAAATATCTCATTATCTATACCCCACTTAAAATCTTCTAGTTTCATCTGAAAAGCATTTATATAATCAAAGATAACCTCAAGTGGCTTACCAGAGCCCTGTAATTTTAATATTCAAAAACATTCACAAAAAAACATCAGTTTACAAACCCATATGATGTCAGACAATTCTTGGTAAGACAGTTGTTGGTCATTCAAAAAGAGCTTTCTCATCTAAGCATTCAACAAATTGTTTTAGAACCAAACCTCGGCTTAGCCAATGAACATTGTTGTACATTTTCAGTCCTTTATATACAGATATTACCTCATCAGTAAAATTTGAAATTGTCTTTTATTAAAGCCTGAGCAGAAATGTAATTAACAACCTTGGTAACTGTTTGCACCACTTCCTTTAGGCCAGCTTTTGCAGACAAAGCTTCTTCATGTATGATTCAATGAAAACCTATCAGTGGATGACCAACATCTTTTGCAAACAGATTAACAAATCCTGCCTTCTCACCAGTCATGCTGGTGGCACCATCTGTTGTGGCAGATAGTAATTTTGAAATGTGAATTTGTTGAGTAGATAATTCATTCACAATTGCTTTACATATTCCATCTCCCTTGGTAGCATGCTCAGGTAGTGTTACAAGGGCAACAATCTCTTCACATCACCCCTTCAAAATGGAAAAAATATGACTAACCTAGCTGATGATATAATGTTTGTACTTTCATCAACACAAATAGAAAAATAAACTTACATGAAGACATATCTTTTATCAATTGTTCAGCTGTATTCCTTTCCAACTTAAGTATTCTATCCTTAACTGTTTTTTTACTCGCATACAAATCTTTAATGTGCTGAATAATCTTTTCCTTTTCTGAAAAATTGTCAAAATGAAAGGCACACATTCTAGCCAAGCTTCTTTAATATACCCCACATCACTGTGTGGCTTGCCATGTTGTGCAGTAACTTTTGAAACCTCAAAACTAACAGCAACTAAGTTGGAACTCGACCTACCTGAATTAAAGTTTATAAAAGCATCACCCTTTTTTTTTTTGTCTTGCTCAGTTCACAAGAAATTAATTCTCTTTGTTCCTCTTCAGTTTTATTGCTTAAGTTCTTATGAACACTTTCAAAATGTCTCTTTACAGAAGAAGGCCTACAAATGATTTTTTCAGAATGGAAAATGCATAAGGCTATCATGCCAAAATTTTCAGTCCATCTTCTTTTTAGTCATTTTTTTTTTTTTTTTTATTTATAAAATAAACATGTCTTGTTCTATTTTTACTTTTATTTCTTCCAGGGTAACTGGTAGTTTGTGTATTATGTTGCATAATATATTTTTAATTTCTATTTGACTTTTTAATGCTGCAATAACAGTGTCCTCAAATGGTTCAGTTTTTTTTTTTTTTTTTTTTTTTTTTGTGGTATCAATCTTGATAATCCATCAGCATGTTCTAATATTTTTGGATGGTTGGTATTCCATCCTGAAATTATAATTTAATAAGATGGTACCTCAGCATTGTAATCTATTCACTGTATGCATAGGAATTTTTTTTTTTTTTTTTTTTCAAACCATAAATTGATAATAGAGATCTACAAATGAAAACTTGTCTGCATAAATTTGTGAAATTTTTTTCACTGCCAATGTTATTGCTAATGCCTCCGTTTTGATCTGGCTGTAGTTTTTTTTTTCTGCTGGTACTAGCAAACCTGAAGCATGTGCAACGGCTTTCATGTTATCATAATCATATTTATCTAGAATTACTGCTCCATAGTCACTAGCGTCTGAAAATATAATTTCTGCTTTTGGATTGTAGTGTGCTAATGATAAGTCTGATGTTAGTGTTTCTTCAAACACCTACTGACACTTATCAGTCAAGTTCAGCTTTATGCCTTTTTTAAGCAAATTATTCAATGAAGCTCTCAAATTCTGCATATTAGGTATATAAATTTGATAATATTTTGCTAGTCCCAGAAATGCTTGTAACCTAGTAACATTTGTTGAAAAGGCATATTCTTAATTGCACTTGTCCTTGACGGATCTGGTTGATGACCATTTTTGTCAATGATTTGTCCTATGCCCATACTGCATTCTTCTGTGAAAATTTACTTGTACCTTTTCTAAAATGAGCAGAAAAGGTAATTCCATCATCTGAATTGTATGTGAATTCAGACATTAGGAGTGAAAAGAACATGGGTAAATTTCACTTTTCTTCCATATTATTTGAATTAAATTTTGTTGTTTCTGGAGTTCCAACAACTGCTATTGTATTTTTACCACTTGGACTAATAATTCTTCCATATTTGAAGAATATCTGTTTTTTTTTTTTTTCTTTCTTTTTTGCACACACCAAAGAGAAAAAAATTAAATTGTTATAGTTCTAATTTCTCCTCATTACTGTTATCAGGTGTGCCAAAGCAAAAAGGAAAAAAGTACTGAGTGTCAATCTCTTGTTGCCACTGTTATAACTCACTTTTAGCAGTTATAATATTGTCTTGCTTAGGCTACTCACTATGATGTCTGTTAGAAAATCTCCTGGCTCCAATGAACTACTGACTCACTTGGAGTTCTTTATTTAAGGCATCTTGCTTAGTTCATTTGTGTTACCGGGGGAGGGGGTGTTATTTACTCCACAGCAATATTTGAGTCATGGACGAATAGAAATTGTAACACTAGTGCTTGAACCCAGATTAAAGGACATATTTCAATGCTGGAATTCAAGATGGACAAGCCCTCTCTACTTGGAAAATTGCTATTACACTATTTTTCAAACTTTTATTTCTCCTTGTGCCAAAATCGGTAAAAGTAAAAATTAGTAAATATCTATTATAGCCATTTAACTAAGACAAATAGTAACTAATTCATTTATCAACTTATTCACATTTAGTTCTTAGCAAGAAAACTGGCAAATAACATTTGTCATAGATTTGCGCAGTAAATTCAAGCTTACCATCAAAATGTTAAAACTAACATTTTAAGAATTAATGATAAAATAAAGCAGGTTATTTATAAATGATTTTTGGTTATATTATAGATTCAGGGTTAAAAAAAATTGGCACCTATTCTATTTTCTTTTTTTTTTTTTTTTTTTTTTTGCATGAAGGAGAAAATACTTCAAAGAGTTGTAGTATCATGCAATTTAAAGAAAATTAACATCTGATTCTAAATAATGCAGCAAGAGCTTCTTTTTTTTATGTATATTCTTTGTTTTTTCTTTTACTTTTAAGGGGAGCACACAAGTAAAATAATTCAGGAATTTGTAAAATAACCCAATTGTAACTGTTGATACTTTTCATAAATGAACTTTAACCCTTAAATGGTGAGCATCATCAATTGATGTTTTATTGAAGATAAGAAAATATCAATTGATTTTTAACTTTCCAACAAAATGGGAATTATTCATGATTTAAGTCTAAGTGAGTAATTGGCAACTGTAAGATTCATGAGGTTACATTCATTTCTTGCTTTATCTGCATACATATCTCTAAGAGAAAAAGACAAAACAATGAATTCATTGTGCAAATAATGCACAATGAAGTTGAGCATGGAATGCTTCAAGGAATATCATATGATTTAAAAAACTTTAAATTTAGGAAACTAACATTTTTTTATTTGCCTTTATTTTTATAATCTAAAAGAATTAAAATATCATTTTTATAGTTTTTGTATATAATTAAAATGGAAATAAGTTATCCGTTAAAAAACAAAAAAATGAATTCTCCTGTTTTACCTGTTTGTTGTGCATATTTGTGCAATCTTTTCGTCCTATTTTAGTGTTAAATGATTTTTAGAAAAAAACAAAACAAAAAAATGTTAAATCAATACAGTAGCATTCCCCTCTTACTCTCAAAGAGAAATGCGGTTTAGTGTCAGAGCCTTGAGTCTTTACTTTGAAATTATCTTTACTTGCATCATTGATATCTGTTCTTAGATATTTGGTAAATATGGTAAGATTTCAAATCTTTATTGCTCTATAAACTGTAAATTTAATTGAATCAAAATCTGTGAAATTTTTTTTTTTTTTTTTCCAGTTCATTTCTCCAGTAAGAAAATATAAGTGTTTGTATTTCTCCTTTTTCTTCCAGGATTTGGTCGCAAAGATGTTGTGGAATACTTACTTGAGTGTGATGCCAACGTTCATGCCCATGATGAAGGAGGACTTATTCCATTGCATAATGCTTGCTCATTTGGCCACGCTGAAGTAGTACAGCTGTTACTGCGACAACATGCTGATCCTAATGCTAGAGACAACTGGAATTATACCCCATTACATGAAGCAGCCATTAAAGGAAAGATTGATGTTTGTATAGGTGAGTGCACTTGCATTCTTCTCTTATTTTCTTTGATATAATCACTTGGTTGTGATCATGTTGGTTTATATGGATTCTGGTTTTCTAACTCTAAAGAATAGAGAATTGAAATAATTCAATGGGTATCATTCTGGAAATAACAAATTTCAAGATCTATTTCTACATTTTAACTTATTAGGAGGTATGCAGTTAGAAAGAAATCTAGTCTTGTTGCCTATAAGATCTGGGCACATATTTTAATGTTTTATTTTCTGAATTTATTTATTAAATTCAAATCTATTTTTTTTTTTTTTTTTTTTTTTTTTAATATAAGGCAGACAGGCACTTCTAAATCACAATAGCTAATTTATATGTACATTCACAATCTTTTAGCAAAAGAGTGATATGTGGATGAAAAAAAAAACAATGCCCCAAACTTGTATAAAAATTAACTTTAACATTGGAATTAGTAAGATTGAAGAAAATTATGGTGTAAAAATTGTTTACAATATGAAACTGTGTTTTTTAAAATAGGATATAGAATTCTGACAGTTTTTTAAAAATTTGACAATTTTCAATTAAACATATTCCATATATATCAGGTCATCCCATAAGTTCTGTCCGAATTTTGAATAAAGAAAATAAGTGACCAAATGTTACATTTAATTACAGATTCAATCAACAATGTATTTTCCCTGATTATCTATGATTTCCTTCCATCTATTAACAAGCTTACTAATTCCATTACTGTAAAATTCTTTTGGCTTTGATTTGAAGAACTCACAAATGTCAGTTTTAACTTCTTCCTGTGTTACAAAAGCTGTTTCTTTCAAATGATTCTGTAAGCTACAAAACAAATGGTAGTCTGAAGGAGCAAGATCGGGAGAATAAGGTGGATGAGGAATTTTCTCCCAACCAAGTTCTTCGATCTTTTGTGACGGATTCTTGCTGTGTGGGTCGTGCATTGTCCTGATGAAACATCACCTTTTTCGATTCACTAGAGCAGGTCTTTTTTTTTCCTCAAAGCTTGGTTCAAATGCTCTAATTGCTGACAGTATATTTGAGCATTAATTGTTGCATTAGGTGGTAAGAATTCAAAAGTGGATTATTACTTGGTGATCGCACCAGATTGAAAGAAAAACCTTTTGCCCATGAACACCCCTTCTTCGGCTGTGGCTGGGGTCCTTCCCTTTACCAAGCCACTGTCTACGATGCTTAACATTTCGATAAAAGATCCATTTTTCGTCGCCAGTCATAAGTCTATCCAAAAAAGGTGAAACAAGTTGGCAAGAATGGAGAGAAGAGCAGATGTCAACTCGGGATTTGAGGTTGTTTTCAGACAATTCATGAGGCACCCATTTTCCAAGTTTAGGAACTTTTCCAAGTTGTTGAAGATGACGATGAACTATTGTATGGTTTGAACTGAGAACCACTGCCAATTCCTCAACTGATAAAGCAGGATTTTCTTCAAGGGCTGCTTCAAGAAGCTTTTCATCAAACTCAACTGGACGTCCGGTTCGATCTTCATCTTCAAGGGTGAAATCTCCACCTCTGAATTTTGCAAACCATCTTTTGCAAGTTCTTTCATTCACACATTCCTCTCCATAAACTGAGTGAATGTTACTAGCCGCTTCAGCTGCTGAGTTTCCTTTCTTGAACTCATAAAGCATTATGTACCTCAAATGATTCTTGGGTACTTCCATGTTAGCAGGGTTTTAATCAAACAAAATTTAATTTTATTGTTCTCTGAAATAAAATTTGATCATTTTAAATGCATCTAAACATAAAAATAATGTTCAGCTCCATTAGACATTATAAAATACTCTATAAATTTTGTTCATTTTAACAAAAAGTTAAAATTCTGACAGATCTTATGGGATGACCTTTTTATATATATATATATATATATATATATATATATAATAATATATATTTTTTTTTTTTTTTTTTTTTTTTATTTTTTAAGACAGTGCCAATAATTTGCATGGTAAATCTTTCAAAGTTTATGAAAAATCTGCTAATTATCAGTAGAAATTTTATTTGGAGAGAAAATATGTTCTGAATCTTAAAAATAAGTCTAAACAAATTAAAAAAAATAAAAGTCCTTATTTCATTTCTTCTTCCTTGGACACAGTTGAAACTTTTTGTAATCAAGAAATGTAAAGTTTAACAAAAACAAATTTTAAATAGAAAATTTTAATTGCAATTTTTTCTTATGTGTAGAAAATTAAAAAAAAAAATACAAAGGTTTTGCTAAATGTACTTTGTCTGACCAAGAATCCCTTTCAGAAAAAATTCTGATGTTTGGTTAATCAGATCTTGGGATGTGTGTGGGGCTGAAACTTTTACAGCACCACCATGTAATAAAATTATTCCTTTAGCCACCCTTATCACATTTTAATATACAAACTCCTAAGCACAAATGAAACAGAATTTTGTCTTTTTATTTTGTTTTATTTATTTACCTATTCTTTGTCTCATGTGATACTCTTAAATATATAAACAAACTTTTGTCAATCATGGTAATTATTGCTGAGGGTTGTTTTCAGTGCACTAAAGTATTTTTCCTTTTCTTTTTTTTAGTCAGGGAGTTACTTAATTAGAAGATAATTTTTACTATTGTAATTTGCCGTCTACTGCTATCTTGTAGATGAGAAAAATAAGTGTGTGTCTGCCTAATGGGTCAAGAATTATAGATACTTGTGTGCTTTCATCAGACTCAAGAGACCATGAATCTGCACCTGATTAGTGTTATTCAGTTTGTGTATGCTGGAGTGACTTCTCCAGGGTACAAGCTGGAGCAAAATCTTATGGGAGATTGACAGTTGCTCATGCAACATGTCTCAACACTGATGTTGTTCAAGGAAAGAGCAGTGGGCATCAGTGTCAATGGAAGTGTTGAGAGATCAAAGCTGAATGTAGTGTGCCTTTAAAAATCTAGATACAGATTTTCCTCGGGGTTTACTCTCAAAGACTTTCCATCTGTGTTTGTGTGTTTTTATTTTATTTTATTTTTTTTATTTTATTTTATTTTATTTTTTTTTTTTAATCGGTTTTCCTCCTCTTAGATGAACTTCCCTTCCAGAGTGATGATTTCCATCTACCCAATTGTTTTGAATTTGTTAAAAACTGCTGTTTCCTTGAGGTATATCATATTAATTGAATAATTAGTTTGTTCTGATTTTGAATATACATGTTAAAAGTATTGCTTACTTTAGGAATAATCAAAAATGTCAAGAATGATGCTAGTATAATGGATTGAAAACTTATAAAATGTTAATGTTAAAAGAATTATGACGATATGCTTATTGATGGAAATTACAAATAAGGTTAGTTCTCTCTCTTTCTCTCTCTTTATGCCTTTCAAACCTTTTTGTAATCACTTAAGTATTTTCTCACTTCAATAAAAATGTGTAGAACAACTTTAAACATTCTTTTAAAAATTTTAAAATGTACATAACTATTATGAAAATTGTCTTTTGAGCTATCTGTATTAGAAGTGTTGTAATTCATTCAGTAAAAATGCATGTATGTTAAGTATAAACAAATATTAATTCAGCAAGTGACTTTTCTCTAAGATAACAATAATAACCTCTAAATACATTTAAATGTAAACTATATATAAAGTCCTAATTTTCAATTAGTGTGTTTTTTTTTTTTTTTTTTTTTTTTTTTTTTTTTGTATAAATATAATGTTCAGCTTCTTCCTCGAAATTGTTGAATTATGTCAGCATGGAACTTCCTCCTAACCACTAGAGGGAATATGGATGAGTCGAATCAGTGTATGTGACATGGTGTATTTTAGCTGTGAAGGTCTAGACTGGTGGAACAAACAGTTGTAGCTTGCCCAAAAATGTGTGATGAAAGTAGTGATAGTTGTCAGAAACTAGCAATGATTCATCTGTGGGAAAGGGGCTGTAGTGTAAGAAACAATTCATCACCCATAAAACTGTGCAAATGCTTCTGAACTCTGTCAATGCTGGAAATACAGTATTTCCATGTGGTAAATGCTTTCATCAAAATAGAAAATTTCTTAATCTTTTTCATCACTTGAAAAAAATGCTTATATTTTATTTATTATTAAAAGTGATTTTAATCTTTTATGTGGTAATGTGTTATAGTTTTTTTTTTTTTTTTTTTTTTTTTTTTTAAGGCAGGATTAGAATGAGATATTTAAATTGCACTGATTTTTCTCTGCATTTATCAATTTCCGGTTACAGATTTTGAATTACTTTCTGAATCACACAAACTCTTTAAAATCACACTTTGCCTGGTTTCAGTCTTGTGGCCCACTTGTGTGAGAAGAATTGACAGGTGTTAATTAATGTTACAAGGACCAGTTTTCTGATATAGGACTGAGGGGGGAAAAGATGAGAAATCTTGATTACATTTAATGAGCACAGAAATTAAATAGGGGAGGAGGAACTAATTAAGAAATTTAATTTGTTTTGAAATGGTTTGAGGGCATTAGCAAGGAATCCAACTTTAATCTTAACTTTGTCTAACTCCATATAGTCCTATACCTACTACTCTCTACAATCAGGTGAAAATAATAAGTAATAACTTCTTGGGAAGAAATTCGAAATTATCTTTTAAAAAAAACAAAAACTTCTCCATCTGTTTGGTAGGTTTTCTTTGGAGGAATGGCTTTCTGAAAGTCTTAGGAAGAATGGTTTTCTGGAAGCATGTTTTCAGAATTCATTTGGATGGGTAACTGACAATTCCTTTTTGTGGAACAAAGGATATTCGTAGATAATGTAAATCAGTGATCTAATTCTATAATACATTATTGGTAACAAGTTGGCAAGATTAGTTGTGAAGGAGTGATTCAAAGTTACTGTCAAGAATTAGGATAAAAAAGGAAGACACTATTTTGAAACATCTAACACCAGCTGAGATAAAGAATTCCAATCAAAATAGTCTGGGTTTTGTCCTCATTCCAAAGCTTCAATCAATCCCGGGAATCTATCAAATTTAATTTTGTGTGATATGTAGCTGACTTGGGCTTGCTTCAATCTTGCGTTTGGAATGTCTTCAAATCATATCTAAACACATTGTGGGTGGAGGCATATCCTGTCTAGGATATCACCAAACCAATGACCAGGACAACTGGCTAATACTTCCAACTATAGTACTTCATTTGTTAGAAACAAAAGTGAGGAGAAAGCAGCAAAGAACTGTGCATATGAAATTACCACATCTGGTCCTTTGACCAAGGATTCTTGACTTTGCAATTACCAAAAAAAAAAAACACACAGCTTGTAGTGTTAGCTGCAATGAGCACTTTTTACTGTTGCTCAAGGTATGAACATTTTAGTATGAGTTCTAAGAGAACATAGTAAAATTTCAGTTATAATTGTTACTTTTAGTACTTAATTTTAACATTTGAAAACAAAGCAATAATGTTTTCAGACAATTTACCTAAAAAATGTATAGGAATTTTATTTGGTACCCCCAAAATGCCTTTTTTTTTTTTTTTTTTTTTTTTTTTTCTGAAATGAAAACAAAAAGAAAAATTATTGTTTTTAAATATTTAAAGTTATTTTTTATTAGAAAACCTTGTAATATTTTTTTTTCTTTTTCAAATTAACCCTCCATTTTAATACATCATGGACACTTTTAAAATTGGGTGGGGACAAATATATTTTAGAGTTTTATCAAAAAAAAATTCCCCAGAAATATTTCATTAAAACAAAAATTTGCAATATTAACATAGAACATCTACTGAATCCTTAATAAAAGAATGATAAAAACTTAAATATTTTGTGGACATTTGGAGCCTGCATAATTGAATAAAACTACAATGAATATTTATTTTTGAAAAAGTTACTTTGCAATTTTTTTTAATTCTTCTAGTTGCTGATAACAAATCATTTTTATTAAATAAAGGTGGTTAAAGAATCAAATTTAAAGTTTAATTCCATTTTCAAGTATGGAATAATTTAAAAAAATTTATTTTTTTTTTTTAAATTGTATGAAAGGTCAAACAGGAACTAATTCAACAATGCTGAATTACATCACTTGTTTATATAAGGTTGAAAATCATTATGCATGATGGAAGTGTCTAGAACAGTTTATGATATTTGTATCTGAAAGAATGCAAAATGAAGGCAATAATTAGTAGTAATTAAATAAGTCTTTATCAATTTTCCTTTTTTTTTTTTTTTTTTTTTTTTTTTTTTTTTTTTTTTTTAGAACTTTTTGTTTTAATAAATGTTCTTAAGTAATTAAAAACCTGATTTTTCTACAATATTTTATGACAAGTAGTTAAAATAAGAATAAATGTCAAAAAGTTAAAAAAAAAAAAAAGATATGGCTAAAAATATAACTTCATTTTATTTATTTATTAAATTTTAAAAAAAATATTCGTTCTCTTAATTGTCATAGTTTTATAGAATAGAAAATATATTCCTAGTTTATTGGTTATGTAAGTTTAAAAATGATTTAAGTGGGTGTAAAGAGGGCCTACTATTTTGACCTGTAGAATATACCTTGCTTTTGTTTGAAAAAAAAAAAAAGTTTTTTGCTATATTTTAAATGTAAAGTAATGTTTTCAAAAATTCTGTTAATTAATCCTTAATATTATTAATATTATTTGAAATAAATATCTATAACAGATATTTGATTTTTAAGAGTTTCTAAAATGTCCTATACTTTATTTTCAATTAAAAGGTTTTTCAAAAAATGTAAGTCTTTAAAATGTTTTAAAACATTTATTGAAATATGTAAAAATTATTTTTCTCTTTTTACAGCTTAGTTATAGACTATTATTTTTCAAATAAAACCATTGTTTTGCTAAAAAGGAGAATTTTTAAACTATTTTAAATGCATTTTTAAATTTTACCTAAATGTTACAATGAGTTGTTTTTTTGTTCTCAAAACTTACAAACATTGCATGGACAAAAAGAATTTGTATTTAATTTGTGACCTTTTATATACAAAATTTTTAGATTTAATTTTCACAGCTTAAAAAATGTGAATTATTCCCTTTTTCTAACCAATGTCAGCATCAACCCTGACCTGATATTGTCATTTAAGTATCTTATTTTAGCTGTGATGCAATGCAGGTTTTAAAATAGTTATTCATGATCTGTTACTTTGCTGCTGCTGTTTGTTAAACTTAGGGTACAACTATTTTCTTCTTGATCAACATTTGACATCATTTTCCCCTCTTATGATTCTTGTCTTTTATTTTTTTATATGAAGTTTTTTTTTGTTTTTTTTTTTTTTTCCTCAAGTCTACTGGTAACTTTTTTTCAAGTCTACTAATAGCTCATAAGGGAAATGTTTGAAATCTTCAAACTAAAAAAGAAAAACTGTACTTCTACTGAGCAGAATAACAATATTTAATTGTCAATAGGAATAACTCATAAATTAGCAAAATGATTGTAATATATTAATATTATTTTGACTTTGATCCAAAATAGATTATTGCTCATGCATCAGAAAAAAAATAAGGATTGAATAAAGAAAATTAGCTTTGATTATCCAAAAGAAAAATGCTACATGGAAGATATATATATAACTTTATCTTTGAGTAATTTTTACTGTTATTATAGACAATACAAAATAAATAATTTAAAAAAATATCTGACAAAATTTTCAGAATGTACAAATTTTGTGAGTTTATGTAATCTAATACTCTGATGTTATTCATCTATGAGTGTGTTCTTAGGATTATTTCTCAAGCTGGTTGTGCTATCCAATAGCTAATATATTTTATAAGTTATCTTAGTCATTTAAGGCTTTCTTCACAATGTTTTAAAATAAAAATGTATAAAAAAAATTTTTTTAAATAAAAATAAATGGCCTGAAACTGATATTCCATGTGTAAGTTTTGTATTTAACTCAAATTGTTTAATACTCAAACTTTATGAATGGCTGACATTTTTCTTCACTTTTGTTAGCAGTATAATAATGCTGTGATAAGCATTGGTTTTGGAAAACCAGTTTCTATTATTTTTATTATTATAATGAATGTTCTTAATCCCTTAATAAATTTTGTATTTTATCTTAAATCATAAATGTAATTTTTTTTTTAAGCAGCAAATATACGTACAAATGTGTGTTAAAAGAAATTGAAACTTGTATGTAATTAGATTTTGAGATAGTTAACAAACTGTAAGCTATTATTAAAATGATAGCTGTCATATAACAAATCTAAATAAGGAATTATTTTCACTTGAATGGCGTCAAAGGTTAAAAAAAAAAATCAATTTGACTTGAATTTTAAACTTTATCAATATTGTATCGTTTTTCATTGTAAATTATTCTGGTAGCAGAAAAGTAAAATTAAATAATGGGTAAAAAAAAAACAAAAACATTTATGTTGGATTTTAGAATATAAATAAACATAATTATAATATTAATTGCTTATAATTTGATTAATATATAAAATTCTTAGATGTCCCCCTCAATTTGAAGGACTTTCTAATATTTAATATATCTAATTTTACAAAATTTTTTAGTAATGAATAATTTGTATGGAGATGATTTTTTTTTTTTTTTTTTTTTTTTTTTTTTTACATTAAAAAAAAAAAAAAACTTTTACCAAAAACCAATCCTCCAAAATTTTGATTAAAAACTGGAATGTTCTGTTTGTTTTTTTTTTTTGTTTTTTTCTTTATAAAGCCAAATTGCTGCACAACTTGTTTCAAATAAAATTAAATTTATGTATAAACTATATAAAAAGCAATCTTCTACCAGAGATATAGCAGGATTAGTCATATTTTTAACTATCTTCTCTGCTGAAGCATTTTTTATCTTTTATATATATATATATATATATATATATATATATATATATATATATATATATATAGAGAGAGAGAATGTTTTCTTATTTACATAATAATTACCCACAAAAATCTGCTGGTTTTATCCATTTTATTAGTAGCTAGCAAATTTTTATATATTGTTTTAATGTTGTCATTTCTTGTATCTCTTTATTTATCAAATATTGTTATTTTGCAAATATTTTGCTTTAAAGTAGTATATGGAAATTGCCCCCCACCTTTTTTTTAAAGAAAGATATTCTTAAAATTAATGTATGCGCAACTTTAAAATAGTCAATTTTTGTTAAAATTCACTGATTATTAATCAATTGATGATAATTTTTAGTGCTTTTTTTGTATACATTGCTTAGTGTGAGTACACTGTACAGCATTTTTCAATGTGAAGGAAATTGATTTTATATTTAATTCTGGACATAGCTTATTGTTGACCATCATAACGAGTGAAAATACAATAGGTTAAGATCTAGATGACACTATTATTTTTAATTTTTTTAAAAATGTAAAAATTTTTTAAATATTCTGAGAGGGCTTTGTTTTAAGTTGTGCAAGAAAATTCTCACCCTCCACGTGAAAGACTATTCTATGAAATTAATGTTTAATTTATTTTCAGTTCTTCTGCAACATGGAGCCGACCCAGCCATCAGGAACACAGATGGAAAAACTGCCTTGGATTTAGCTGATCAGTCTGCGAAAGCTGTCCTTACTGGTAAGCATCTAATGTTTCTCTGTATCACAAATTATTAGTATTTATTTCATTGCTGAAGCATGATGAAGCATGAAATAAGTTATGACTGTTATAGAAAATCAGTCTTGTTGTGATGATCATTTTTTTTTTTTTTTTTTTCTATAAAGATATCTTTTCAGCTTCTCTTTAATATTTGATAAAACAATTTAAAATTAATAGCAACCCTTTTTTTTCCTCCTCCTTTGGCTTGGGATATATAAATGATCTTAGATTTTATTTTATTTTTGCATACCATACTGACATTGATTTTTCTATGATTAAAAACTCTGCAGTGTCAAATTACAAATAAATGCTACTTTAGGTCACTTACTCCATAACTTTTGGCTGCTATTCACTTTTTATATTACTATTCTTGTTTCATCTTAGTTATGAGAAAAACAACAACAAAATACATTTTTTTTTAAATTTTCTTTTCATATTTCATTTTCCATTTTCGACTATATTCTATCATCTTTCAGGCAACTTCATAATTCCATCCTCTCCAGAACTATTTATCTGTCTCGGCAAAGAATTATTCTATGTGCCTTTAGAGTCTTCCAAGGAATTATTGAACATTTTTGTAAAGAAAGTTGTGTAAAGACTGGAATAAATGCTAATTCAAAGAATCAATATTTGATAAATCATCTGTGACAATTTTTGCCTAGTCACCTATTATTCTGATGGAATATTACATTTCTATGTGCCGTGTCCCTTCAGGACGTGGGTGATCATGATTCTCCACAACTTCCTATCCCTTGTAGATCTTAGCAATGTTTGTCTAATTTACTATCCCTCCCAGTCCCTGTTCTATTATCAACAAAAGCTTTTTAGGCATGTTATTCAGTTTCCCCTCCTTCGCTCTCTTTCACATTGTCCAGTGAGTGTCAAACTTTCCAAGTCTTTCTTCATGACCTAAAAATTTCAACTCTGACCTTTTTGTTTCTATTTTCCTTAAAACTTACTCGTTTATATGGTTCATGCATGGTACTCTCAACATCCCTCTGTAGAACCAAGTTCCCTCAAGTTTCCTCTTCAACTGTAATGAAATTATTTAGCATTTGTTGCCATATAGGAAAACTGAATCCTGGTTGTTTTAGTTTAATTATTGCTTTCAGCTGGTCTAATAGGAAGCTGTATGTGTTTGAATCAGCCCTTTCTCTGAAAGGAGCTTATGGTACAGAATGCTCTTTCAATTCTACCATATACACAGCATTACTTTGTATGAAAACTGACCTTTAGCATGGATAGTGATAGTGACATATCAAAAGGACTAACAAACCGATACAAATGATTTTCTTTTTTTCTTAGTTTTATTTGGATATTTTTAATATGTTGGACATCTTCTGTCATGTAACATTAATATTATTATCAAGTAATGTCCTGCTATCATACATAATTCACCCTATTGACAGTGAGAAATTTTTAGCAAAAAACTCGATAATCCACTTACAACAGTCATTAACAGTAACTTTTCTATCAACTTTACAAATATTTCTTTACATTTTTTTTATCAGAATTGTTATATTTCTTAAAATGGAAAAATGTATATGCTGAAAATGTTATTTTCTTTTATATGCACTGTTTGAATTGGTTTAAAATGATGAAAATACGCTAATTTTGATCAAAATAAAACGTGTGCTTTCACAATACAGTTGAAAGAATTTTTTTTAATTATGTCAGTTATAAAAGTATGGGTACCATCTAACAACAACAGAATGGGCTTTTTAGATTTATGCAATATATAAAGCTGATCTTCAGTGTTTTTTTTTTTTTTTTTTCTCCACACATTTAAAATTGTTTATTTATTTATTTTTTTTTAATCTGATACATGCTTATACTGTACATGAAGAAAATCTTGGAAATTGACCCTTTTTTGTTGGATATTATAAGATTTTGTTTGTAATTAAACTTTAAATACTGATTATTTTTGCATTCAATATCAGTGTTAATTCTGAAAAAATTGCTATTAAATTTAGTATACTAATAACAAATGAATGTCGGTGAGCTAGCTTTCCCTCATTGCAAGTAAAATGTTTTAGATGGTTTTTATTTGATTACTATCAAAAGAATGAATTTATTTATTTTATATGAAACTTTTAAATAGCATTTACACACTCTTAATAAAATTATTTTACTCTTGACATTTTAGTAGTTATTTTTCCTGCACCGATTTAACAAATGTGGAGTCTTGTATAAATTTTAGGCATTTAAATTTTACATTAACTCTTAGGTCAAATATATTTCTCAATCTTGTGTATTTCTGTCTTCAGAGAGCCACAGTATAGACATTGAGCACAGATACTAGTGAGGAATGCTGCTTTACTTACTGCTATCCACACACACACACATATATATATATATATATATATACACACACACACATTGCTTGCCTGATTTCTTATCACTAGCTGTTCAGCATCATGACTTAATTGCTGTGATGACAAAGGAGCAATAACTACTTCTCTTTGTGTGTGTGTGTATAGGCTAATAGTAAGGGCTTGGTATAGACATCTCTTCATTATTAGACACTTTTTAAGCTTCCTTGCTTGCCTCTTGTAAATCATCTAGCTACTGATATGTTTATTTGTTTCTTTGGGTTTTTTTACCAAACTTCTTATATAATGTTTTCCAGCTGATGTTGGATGACACAGCAGGTTTATTAATCCAGTTGGCCTTTCTACTTGGCTGAGAATATCACAACTAAATTGTTTGCTTTTTTAACTTGACCTAATTTGTAACACATCCGCTTCTTACTCACAGGAGTAAATTGCTTGAGGTGAAATCTGGATAAAATACCTTTGTTTTTCATAAAATAAAAAGCAGGTGATAGTGTATTTGTTTTTAAATTTCTTTTTTTTTTTTTTTTTCTTCAAATTTCAGCCTATATTATCTGTATCTATTTCTTTGAATAATAAGCACACCTCATAAAGGGGTTAGCTAAATTTAGAAGTGTGTGTTCAAAACAATTTTCATGGTACTATTTATTTATCCTTTAATTCATCTGAAATTAAGTAGATGGGATTAATATTGACTGGTTAATAAAATCTTTGTTCCCTCTTCAGGTTAAAAAAATAGTCTCTGAGATTTTGTTTAATTTATATTTGTACAAGTAGATCTCAATTTACATTAAGAAATTAGAAAGGAAACATTTATGTAAAACTCAAGATATATATATGTGTGTGTGTGTGTGTGCAGGTGTAGGAAAATTTCAATGATCTCTTACATTTAGATACGGCTTAAATGTCTGTAATTTTTATATTAAACTTAATATTTTATTTACACCTGAAGATAATGAATTTGTAAATCATTACTATTAAGTGTCATTAGATATTCTTATTTTTATAAATTTTGTAAATCTTTTTCCTCAATTATTTTATTTTTTTTATTTCTTTCTGTATAGACCATATCTATTTGAGGGAATGCTGAAAGTTCTCAGCCTGGCTAAGCCCTTCCAAAAAAATATCTTTTGTTTAGTCATTTGGTTAGATTTTTTTTTTGCCTCGTATATTTAATAGCTGAAAGTTAAAAAAATTAAATAAAAGATGACTGTTGTATAGCTGTTGAAGGATTATAAAATTCCAAAAATATTACCTGCTTGTACATCTTTTTTATTTTACTGAAATTCTTAACCTTTTTTTTTTTTTTTATGTACATTGAATGAATTTTAAAGTAAGAAAAGATTTAAGATGGCTTAGTAAAATTGTGTTTTTTAGTAAAAAAAAAATGTTATTTACCTTCATTTATCAGGACTTTGGTTGTCTTTTAGTAATCTAACATTAAAAATAAGGAAAATGTAAAGGCAATAATACCAAACATTTCTTGATTGCCATTTCTCATAACTTAGAGCGCTTGAAAGTTTTTCTTTACCTAAGATTTTGATACTATTGTTTTTATTGAAAATCAGGTGAGAGAAGTCTAATTCAATTTGTGAGTATTTGTAACATGCCTTTATATTTGTCCCTTTATTATATAGAATAAACAGCAAACATTCCTGCAATAAGACGTAGTGCCAAAAGGATGGTTTTTCCCTTGACACTTTTTTTTTTTTTTTTTTTTACTTCTGCATTTCTTACAAAAAGAAAATGCTTTCAATTATAATGAATTTCTGCTCTGCTGATTTTCCACTTGTTGAACTGATTTTATTATTATTCTGAGGAAGGTGGGGGTTATCAGGAATGTTATTCAACAATTGATTAAAGATTTCATTAATTAATTTATGTGATTTGTCAATAGCAAAAAAAATTGAACTGAACGCCTTAACTGTTTAAGAGAATTTTTTTTTTTTTTTTTTTTTCGTAATATTCTTGCCCTTAATTATTTATATTGTTGTTATCAGCTCTCTTTCATAAAAGGCTACTCTTTTATATACATATATGTGATAGGAGGTTGAAAAGTTTCTAAACCAATCAAGAAAAGACTTAAAAAACATTTTAATGTTTGATCATTTTTTGGAAAGTTGGTCAGCTAAGTTTTCAGTGTCATTTTGAACTTTCACAATTAAATTTATTGCCCTATAAATGTTTTAGAAGTAATGTATTGAACAGAAATAGTGTTTGTGCTGTTGTTAATGTTAACAACATGCTGTACAGTTATTTTGCTAATATCTTCAGACTATAATTTAGTATATTTATGGCCTAAAATCTATCTAATATCAGTTTGTATCACTTGAACATTGGATTTATACAGGCTAAGTTTGAGCATATTAAACTTTTTTAAAGGTGAGATCATAGGATTTCATTTTTCATGATTATGATACTGTTTTGTTGGTTATTTTTTACTTTTTTTTGTGATCTTAAAAGGGATTCTCATCTGATTGACTTTGTCTGGAGTTCTTAAAAGTTTTTCTGAACTGAGGTTGTAATTGTTTCTTTATGATTTCAATAACATAAACAAGTCTCTCACACCTAAAGTAAACATCTGAATTTGTGTGTGTCTTTTTTTATATATATATATATATATATATATATAAGCTTATAAAATATTATATAGGTCAATGTTCCAATAAAATTGGTCTTAACCAACCAATGTTGATAAAATTTTCAGGCTATATATGTCAGCAGTATGTTGTGCCAGTTCTGGCTTATAATATCTATCCTCATTAAAAGAAAAAAAAAAAAAGATTGTTTTGAGGTGTCATGTTTTATGCAAACGAAACATAAATTTTTATTTATGAACAATTCCCAAAAATGTAACCCATAAAATCCTATATTTAATTAGAGTATTGCTTATATATTTGAATAAATAAGTTTTTTATTCTGTGTTAAAATAGTAAAATTTATATTCATCATTTGATTTTACTGTGTTGACTTCAACATGCAGCACTTTTTATTTCTTCAAAGAGATCATTTTTGCTTTAATATTGTTTTTCATTCTCAAATAAATCTCTTTTAATGATGGCTCAATAATTTACTGTTGTATTGATATCTAAAGATTGCTAGAGGCTATGCTATTAATTTCATGTTTTAGAGACTTTTTCTCTGGCTATGTTAGCACTAGTCAATTTGGCAGTGTGAAAAAACATTAGCTTGCATGAATATACTCTTAGTTTAGTTTTTTGGGGTTGTGATCTCTAACACTTAACAAAACATTTTTCCAAAAACTCAATAATTATGTGTGTTTATGTTAATACCAATATAAAACGATCTATAAATTTATTGCCTAAGCATTGTCACCTAAGCACTGTTGTTTTCTAAGTCCTGTTGGCTCATTCTATGAATGATCCAATATCAAACCTGCTCATTTGGTACAATCATCAGTAAAATTATCAATTTTCATGTATATCTTCACCAAATTACACACTTCTCATTGTGATATTTACTTAAAGAATTTAGTTTGGTTGCTTTCATGTGTTCAACCATGTTAATTTTCTACATTTTTTCTCTGTTTATATTTGCAAGATCAGTTTCTTCAAATATTTTCATATTGGTTTACTTTTTTCTTGCTTATTAACCTTTCATCTTTTCTTAAATGTCCTTTTTTTTTTTTTTTTTTTTTTTTTTTAATGAAAATGTTAGTTATTTTTCCTTGTTTTGATTCTTTAACATTTTGCAATTTCCAAAGTTGTTTTCCCACCACTCTATAACTTAGAATACCTTGTTTCTCTTCTAGCTTTGTAGCATTGCGATCCATAGCAATCCTTACATATATGCAAGATGAAAAATGAAATATCAATAACTATTATATATGTATTTATTTATAATATGATTGAAATCTTATGTCACTAAATAAGTTACTGTAAATATTTTTCATAAATATATCCTGAAAATTTTACTAATGTTGGTTCCACAACCAACAATATGAATATCAGATTTTATTAGGAAACGTCGATACTTTCACAATAAAATTGGTATTAACGAACCAAGTTTAGTAAATTTTTTAGGATGTATTTCAAGAATGAAAAGGAGAAAAAAGTAAAAATCTAATTTTAAGTTTTACATCATCTTTCTGAATTTATCAGAAAGTCATTTGATCAATATTTCACATAGTTTTGCAAAGATTTTTTTATTTTTTTTATTTCAAGAAAATGTAAAACTTTTAGCAAAAGATAAATGGCTTTTTGAAATGGTTTGATAGCAGAAGGAAATTTTCAACTTATGATAGTTTGTACATGATAGGAAATTTTGCTGCTTTTACTAATATTCATTTAAAATGTTTTTTCATTTTCAGGAGATTATAAAAAGGATGAACTTTTAGAATCAGCACGAAGTGGCAATGAAGAAAAAATGATGGCTTTATTAACTCCTTTAAATGTTAACTGTCATGCCAGTGATGGCCGCAAGGTAAATTCTGTCTATTTTGTAGTATTTGTTTTTCCTCCTCCTGTTCTTTAAAATTTCAGGGATAAATACAGTAAAATGAGTGAAATTATATATCCTAATTCTGGATTTTTATGTTATCCTTATCAATCATATTTCCAGATGGCTTTGTTTCTATATCTTAATATTGAAAATGAGTGAATTTCACTTTTCTTTAAATTTAATTGCTGAGTGAGTTTGGCAAAATAAAGGACTATTTTGTTTTTTTATAAAAAGTTTATTTCAATGTTCTGTTAACTATTTTCGCTTTATTTGTTGTATTTGACTTTATTAGTTTTGAGAATAGTTTAAGTTGATTTTTTTTTTTTTTTTTTTTTTTTTTTTATTACAAGGAATTTCTAATATTTACTTTTAGATTACTTTATGGACTTGCAAAAAATTTGGAAAAAAATAATTCTAATATTGATATATTAAAATTATTTTGCAGCATCAACTTTTCTCTCAACATAGAAATTTTGATTATTTCCATGTTAAAATGTCAATTTAAATGCTTTTCCCTCTAAAAACAAAAAACAAACAAAGCTCAAGAGGTTTGCCTATTTTCCTTACTTATGACTAAAAAATGCATGTTATGCATATCCCTTTGTATTAACTTCGCTATAAAATATCTTGATTGTTACTGTCAGCAAGATTTGGTAAAACTGTAGTTGATATAAAAAATTTACTTGATAATATTGAGTTGCCTTAAATTTTAAAGTGGTTATCTAATTACTAGAAAGTTTAACAGTGTTAAAGGAAGAAAAGAATTAAGTTCTTCTCATATTAACATGTAAATATTGCCAAAAACATTTCTAGATTTTAGGTAGAGACAAAACTAGGAGGTTTCATCAGTGATAAACACAGGATCATATATGAAGGTAGAGAAAAAAAAAGTGGAGTAGGAGTGATATTAGATCAAGACCTGAAGAAATGTGTTCTGGGATGCTATCAACTATCATGTAGTTAAAATAAAACATATCCATCATAGTTGTATATGCATTGACAGTACAAAGTACAGAAGAAGAAATTGAAAATTTTTACTATATGCTAGATAGCATCAAGGCTTGATGCAAATTGCAAGAAATCACAATTGTGGGAGACCTGAATGCCAAAGTAGGCAAAACAAGAGATGGTAAATTTGGATTAGAAACATGTAATGAACATAGTGAAAAATGGGTCCAATGGCACATGGTGAACAATCAGATAGTAGCGAAAGACCTACATGAACATGGAAAAAGCTGAGAGGAGAAATGAAAAACCAAATCAACTATATAACTATCAATAAGAGATTCAAGAATTTAGCTTTACACTACAATACATACCAAAGTACCAACTATGGGAGTAACCTAGCTTCCATTGACATGTAAACTCTGTGAAACTATGGAAATTGAAAATGGCTGAGGCAGCATGTGAATTTCAATGAGACTCATTTTGAATGACCTGAATGTGAAAAAATCTATGGACAGTGTTAAAAGCAGATATGAGGGACAAAACGAAAATGGAAACTTGAAGTGGGACACATTAAGAGAAGCTTTAGTAACACTAGCAATCAAGATCATACCAAAGAAAAATAGACAAAGAAAAAAGGGATGGATGACAGATGAAAAAGGAGATGAAAAAAAAAAACAATACCAAGGTACAGCACAATATAAGAAACTGCTCAAAGAAATTAGGAACAATGCAGATAGGCTAAATAGGAATGAATCAATGAAAAGTGTGCAGAAATAGAAAGAATAAGTATCACAGGTAAAGCAAGAGAATTAACTGGACAAGAGACATGCTCATCAACAGGATGCATAAAATCCAAGGACAGGACACTGACATTTGAGAAAAAAATACTTCAGATATAGAGTGAATACATCAGAGAACTCTTTCATGACAAATGACAACCTTCAATACATAGAAATATTGAAGGACCAGAAATATTAAAATTTGAAGTGGAATCAGCATTAGCCAAATTGAACAGAAACAAAGTAGCAGGATCAGATGGAATTATAATAAAGATGCTGGCAGCCTTAGATTGTTTCAGTATTGAGTAGATTAGACATAAATGAAATATGCAACAGTGGTGATAAACCTCGGTAGATCTATTTTCATATCATGGCCTAAGAAACCAGGTGTAAATGAATGTAAACTCCATTGGACAATCAGCCTAATATGTCATATAACAAAACTTATCTGAATTCTGATGAATAGAGCATGCAGCAGAATCAGACCAGAAATAGGACAAGAACAGTGCAAGACATTGGAACAAGGAATGTGATATTTCTGATCAGAAGAATATCAGAAAAAACAATATAAATGAAAAAGGATGTATACTTATATTTTATTGATTATGCAAGAGAGTTTGAAAATGTATGTCACAAAGAACTGTTAGAACTGCTAGGTAACCTTGATATATGTAAGAAAGATATTAGAATAATCTAGAACTTATACTGGCAGCAAATCGCCTGCATACAAATAGAAAATGAATTTAATAGAGATAGAAAACTAAAAAGGGGTGTAAGAAAGTTTTGTCTTCTCACCAAACTTATTCAACCTTTACAGTGAGGCGATTCTGAGAGAATCAGAAGTCTTACCAGGATTCATTATTGGCAGCCACAACCTTAACATTTCTTCTATTGACGATTGTCAATGTGTCATTATTGACCTTGACAAGAACTGTACTCACCATATCGGATTGTCGGGTGAAAAAAAAATCATTAAAACAAAACAGGTTACGTGTTTGCTAATTATTATTAATCCACTCAGTTAATTCTTTTAAATTAGTCACATAAATTGGTTGATTATTCTCTGTGTTCAGTCTATGGGCTCTGTAGACTCGTTTTACTTGGAGATGAATATTTTCCCATATTTGCATTTCCTTTTATAAAAATAGAATACGAAATTTGACTTGACAATGAAATTTTATCAAATACTCGTGATGCTTAATAGGAGTAATACATACAATTATGTTGCAGCTATTTATAAACTATTTACCAATTGTTAGCTGAAATAGTTTGTACATGATCTTTTAGGAATTTTCTCTTTCAATCTTATTGCAAAATCTAAATTGTACATATTTATTTTATTTTTTTTTTTTTTTAAATATTTTGCTAATATCTACAATAGGTCTTCATATTATTTGCAAATTATATTAAGATATTCCTTGACTGACTGGATTTTCTTTTTTTTTTTTTTTTTTTTTTTTTTTATACATTACTAAACATGTGGCAGCCATTTTGGTGATATCACTTTTCTTTAACTGCTCCAAATTCTATGCAGCTTACACTGCTAAGCATTTTCAAGTAATGACAAAATTACTTATGTTTAAAACCAACACTGGAAGAGACCACTGCATGATCAAGAAACTTGTCTTGAATTTGGTTGCATGCACCACATGTGCTAGCAAAAAAGAAGGCTCAAGATCTTAATGAATGGAAAAATATTTGCAGATGCTTAAGCACCCACTGAAGAAGTAGCAAAGGATTATTTTGCTACTATTAGTGCACCAGAAACCTCATGATACTGCATCCTGAGGCATTTGGAACCTGCAGTAAATTCCTTATTCATCTTCTGAAGCTGGGATGTCTCACTGTTACTTGGACTGAAAAAGAATCTCAAAATAGACTTGGCGTTATTAATGGATGAGTGCAATGTGACACTAGGATGGTCCTGACAGCTAATAAAAAGGATTGCGCCTGAATAAAGAACCCAAGTCTCTAGGTGAGATATCAGTCAGGAGTTGGAAAAGTCATATTTTGAGTTGGACTGAGAATTGGTACGGAGTTGGTTGCTCCACCCTATCCCGAGAATTTCTGATGGCATCAAGATGAATTACATAAATTATGTAAAGCCCAGTCTCAAGAAAACACTTGCATTCAAATTGAGTGATATTTATGTTAAGGATCATTGAATACTTTGCTAAATTAGATTTAAAATGATTGGCTTATGGAATTTCCTACATGTTCACCAGATCTAGCTGAACCTTATTGAAATATCTTTATAAAATTGTCAAAATGTGTCTTCATATGGGCAGCAAGTAAATGAATGAAGTAATATCAACTGTTCATGAATCTATCATAATCTGAAGAAATTCTGAATTTAATTTCTTATGTAGACAGTAGGTGGCTTGAAGTCATTATGCAAATAAAAGAACAGAAATTAGATTTGTTGTTTTTCTGTTGTGCTGTTTGGGTAAACCTCATATTTTACTTTGCCATTTTTTTGGCTAAATCATTATTGTTCTTTTTTTGCTTTTTTCCAATCACTTCAAAATAGATTTTTTTTTTTTTTTTTTTTTTTTTCTTGAGATTGTTGTGTATAAACTGGAATGTTTTTAAATTATATTTTTAATAAGTTGAAATGAAAATGACTTAGTTTTATAATTATCATTTTATTGATTTACATATGATAGATGGAACACTCTATATTGAGTAAATTATAATTTCTTTTTTTCTTTTTTTTAAATGAACATTTGCGCATGTTGATATCAAATGAACAAAAGTATGCAAAATTATAACTCTGTTGATTTGTTTATTCAACCACCTTCTACATTTTTTGTTATTGATTGATATTTAATGTTGAATAGAAGGTAGAACCTAAAATTTGACCTGTTTGAATAAAATGCATACTGCAGAGGCCTTGTACTTATTAGAATAATAACTTTTTGTAGAATCCTTCCCAAATCCAAATAGTTAACTGATATTTAATATATGGTTATTAAAATTCCTTGTAAAATGTAAAAAGAATTCTTTAAATCTGCACCATAAATATATTCTTTTTTTCTTCAATTGAAAAATATATTGATGACCATTATTTTATCTATTTTGCTTGGTAATGTTTGTAGGAGATGTTAGAACCTTTTGCATAATTTGTAACCAGCACAAGAATAAAAGCTTCTCTCCTGTTTGTTTCTAAAATATTCTCCATTTTTTTTTTTTTTTTTTTTTTTTTTTTTTTTTTTTTTTTTTTGAGAATTTTCATTTAATTTGTACAGTTAGAAAAATACATTAAAGTAGCTAATATATATTTAATAAAAATTTTACTATCTAAAATAATTTCTGTACAGTACTTTTTTCTGTTTTACATGGCATTCTGACAAATCTTCAGTCATGTCATAACAAATTCACCGACAGCTATCCCTTTAGGTTATTCCAGAGGAGTTTTTCTTCAATTAACACATACACACACACACACACACACCAGAAATACCTCTCACATAATAGTAAGATAATAGCTAGATAAAGACATCATTGCCACTAATATTTTACCATTATGTGGGAGGTATTTTTGCCACATCCTGTATTTTAGCTTGAAAGCTTACAATTTATACTAATTCCTGTGTTCATACTGGAATAATAATCATAAAAAACAGCTCATTAATTCTTCTGATATTTTCACCTTTTTTTTTCTTCTTTTAATGAGTCATTCTAGTCAGAAGTTAATCTTGCAGCTTAACACCAATACTTGTGTGTCATACATTGTACACACCTACACAGAGCCCTATGCTTTGATTTGCCTGTTACTACCACCTTTGCTGCTGATTCATTCTTTATCTTCTCCATCATGAGAAAGATGTTATTTATTCCATAACATAAAGTGTGTTTTTAATTTTTCTTTCTGGCAGTCCACACCACTTCATCTGGCAGCTGGCTACAATCGAACACAGATTGTTAAATTGTTATTGCAACACAAAGCTGATGTGCATGCGAAAGATAAAGGGTATGTAAACGGTTTCCTTTTGTTAACCATGTTTTTCTTGGAAAAGCTATTGTTTCTTTTTAAAATTAACTAGTCTTTTTTCTTTTTTTTTGTACAAAAATATTGATATTTTATCTTGAAAATTTTCTATATTTGATAAAGTATATTTTTCACTTTTATTCATTAAGCTACCTTTTCTAAAAGGAAAAACTGTTTCAAAATTTTTGTGATATGTAACTGATAAACCTTAATAGATGATGTAAGTATAAATTTGGGATAGAACTAAGCACTTCCTCTCTGTTTTTTTTCTTTTCAAATTTCAATCCAGGCTATTTAAATACTTTTCTGTTATCATGAAATTGACTCCAATAAAAGATTGTAGGCATTCCAAATAACATTCAATATAAAATTATGCTGCTAAAAGTAACTATTTTAATGGTATATGTAATGTTTTAAAAATCTATTTGTTTTATTTATTTTCCAGAGGTTTAGTTCCTTTACACAATGCTTGTTCCTATGGACACTATGAAGTCACAGAAATGCTTCTCAAGGTATTAATTCCTTGGACATTTTATACCTTTTACTGAAAACTGGATATATTGCAAGTATTCTGGAACTCTAAGCCATAGTATCACTTGCATGGAAAATATCTACATTTTCTTTTGATGGCTATGGATTTTCACTTGAATTGCAAATAATTTTGCATTAGTAAATTCAGTGTTTAAATTGTCTTGTATCTTTGTCCTTGAAATTACGAAAAAAATTTTGTTAACTGGAAAAAGTATAATTGCAATAATTCCAAGAGGCTGTTGCATAATTCAGTATATATTCCTGGATGCTTACTTTAAAGCAATTTGTGAAAAAATCAGGAAAGAATGTAGTTTTTAAAATTTAGTTTTATTTTTCTAATCTTTATCATAAGTTACACATTATGGATATGATAGTATGCAAATTTTGGTATGTTGATTACCAAAATTTGAGAATTTAGGGAAACTTTGTCAAATTTAAAATTTATAATCTGATTTTAATTATTTTTTTGATGCTCTAACATCCCTTTTCCACTGAAGAAATCTTGTTTAATATTAGTGAAATCAAGAGAAGTCTGATGGCTGTCAGTTTTAGTGGTCTAAAGAAGCCAAGTACAAACTTCTGTCTACCCAGTAGGGGTAAGTCAAGGCTGTCACTTAAGTTGGGTAAACAGGCTCATCAAATGCAGTGCAAAATTATTAAGCATTTGTCTATTTCTGTTGTTTGTGGCTTCCAGAATAGGACAAAGACTAGAAATGGGGTTGATTGTGGGGATGATAAACTGGACAAACAAATAGTTGCAACTTGCAATTCCGTAAGGAAATCTCACTCTGGAAAAATTTACTCTACTAAAAAATGTCAAAAGGTCAAGGTAAGTGTCTACTTTACTAATTTTTATTTATCAAAACTAAAATATAACAAAAATAAATAAAAATAACATGCACACACACATACACACATGTAAAAAGATATAAATATTTATTGATCTTAAACTATCAGTAAAACTAAAATCTATAGCTCCTATTAACACCTATGTTAAGTATGATGTCTAAAAAAAAAAAAAGTGCAAGTTTCTACTCAGTTCTAGAACTTTCCATAAGTTTGCTATAATTTTTGTTTTTAATCTCTTTTAAAACCCATTTGATAATTATAATCAAAATTATGTAATATAAACACAAAATGTATTCATGTTGTTCTGCTGGGCTCTAATTTAAGACAATTTTATAACGTATAAAAAAAAAAAAGAAAGAAATGAATGAATGGCTGGAATTCTCACCAATGTCACATTAGTTTACTTCAAATAAAAAATTGACCAACATAAAGAAAATTTTTTTTTTTTTTCGATAAACGATACTTAAACAGTAAACATTCTTTTTATGGAACTTTAATTTGATTCTATGAAATTCATGTATTTCTTAAAATCTTATAGCTTTCAACATGGATTTTCATCTTTATTTAAAAACTAAAAAAACTTTTATTTGACGTTTCCTGGAGAAAAAAATTTTTTTCACACAAAAGTTTGTATTAAAAAAAGGTAAAATTTAATTTCCATCAAAAATTATACTTAATTTTATTTTACTAATATTTTTCTTTGGCATAATTGAACTTTCTTGTGTTAAATTATTATGGCATTTAAACTATTTTGAATTTTTTTTCTCATTTATTCCTCCTGGGAGCCAAACGAGATGAAAGTTTTTTTTTTTTTTTTTTTTTAAAAAAAAAAAAAAAGGGTATTTTTATCTAGCATGCTTAAGCTGTAGTTTTTTTTTTTTTCCACTTTTTACATATCAGCATTATTTAGTTTTCGACTTCCTAATATTTTTTCAAATTCATTGTAAAGTTTGCTAAAATTGCTTTATATCTCTTTAACAAAAATCAAGGGATATGATTTTATTGTGTTGTTGCATTTTCACTCTTTTTTTTTTTTTTTTTTTTTTAAACAAAAATAAATCATTTTGGATTCTTTTTAGAAATTAAGTTTTTAGTTGTGAGAAAATTATTTTAGACAGAAAAACTAAAATTTTTTCTTAGATAAAGATTGAAGGCCCTTTATTATTTATTAAGTTGCTGTGATAATTCATATTTAACTCTCATTAAATGTCTGTAAGCAAATTTAAAATTTGCATTTATTTTTTATTCACTGTCCTGCAAGATTAGGTAATCCTTATACTTTATCAAAATATATGCATGAGTTAAACGACAATACATAGAATAATGCCTTTCTACTTATTGCTGCAATATTGTAAATAATATATATATATATATATATATATGAGAGCATCTTTGATTTTTGAAGTGTATGCTGAAGTTGAATTGTCAGTTCTAAATTTGTTGCATTCATTGAAAAATGCCGTACATAAAATTTTAAGGAGATTGCCCTTATTTCTTAAAATATATAGGGTTTACAAAATAGACCTGTTTTTATTTTATAGTTAATGGCAAACAATTATTATTTGAATCTTTTACAAATTATACACATTAGGAAACTAGAAACATTTTTTATCTAACAGTGAAAAATTTGAATTTTAGCCAATATTTGTTATTTTCAGACCTCAGTAAATGGCAAGTGTTACTGATGCCAAGCAGAAAAGTGTAGTTTGGAAGTGCTTTAAGATTTCTGATGATAGCCAAAGTAAAGCAATGTGTCAACTGTATCTAGGTACTTAAGTGATTTACATAAAGAAATTTTTCTCTTTATTGTTTAAACTCTTACCATTTTTTTTTTTTTTTTTTTTTTTTTCTTCTAAATAAAAAGGATATTTAACTTTATTTCATAAGCTTTTTCATTCATTTTTCTAGTAAATGTTTTATTAATAAATGTACTTTGTTCATTAAGTTTCCCGAACCATCTGTAGGACCTGAAAATAATGAATTTTAATCATCGTAGGTATCGGAAATCATAAATTTAGAACAGTATCAGGAATTGTATTGGAATCAGTAAAAATATTGGTATTGTCCCATCACTATATATATATATATATATATATATATATATATATATATATAAAGTCAAAAGCAAAACTTAGCTGATGTGTTTTGTCCTATGATGGACTTTATAAATACTTATTGCAAAATAAAATCCTTACATTTACCTTGATAAATAAAATTAATTTTTCAAGACAACTGAAAAATTGAGGAGAAATTATGAAGGATGCTAAGTGATTTAATTTTTTTTACATTGTTTGGGCTGTTTTCCTCATCTTTGTTGCCATATTCACAATGTTTTGGCTGTGGTATGCTCTGGTCTTCTTCAGGTGGTCAGAATTTTGAACTGAACCCTTTTTGTCCACTGGGGTAGATTGTTTTAGTTCCACATACCATGCCTCTTCTGGATGTTTCAGTTATTTCCCTTTAACTCAACTCTATAAGTTTTTGCTTACCACTGCAGTAGCCATGTATTGAATTCACAATCCTTTGGGTCAAGTCACTGAATCCAGCCAACATTTTTATCCACTGGGCAATATGTCAAAGTAACTGAGACATCTGGAAGAGGTATGGCACGTGGAACTAGAACAATCTACCCTGATGGATGAAATGAAGGTTTCAGTTCAAAATTCCAATCACCTGAAGAACGCTGGAATGTACAACGGCTGAAACATGAATTATTATTTATATTACTTTAGCTTGGGATTAATTTATGTATTATATATTTTAAATAATAGGTTATGAATTTAACCATTTTCTTTTAATTTTTTTTTAACATATTTATAGTTATAGTATGTTGGCTTGGGAAAGGAGTATTTCTTTCAGGAACAGATATTTTAAAAATCTGTAGTGCAAGACTTGTATTTTGGTAAAATTTGATAGCAGCATGCTTAAGAATTTTCCATTTAAGTAAGTTCTGTTCCTTATTATATATTGGGAAAACTTGGAAAAGATGTTTTCCTTTTGTCTTTATTCACATTGTCCTTTTACACATATATACGTGTGAAATTTTATATACACACACACTTTAGGCATTTTGTTTCATTTGAAACCTAAACTATTAAACATTTAATTAGGCCAGTTTATATTGTGAGGAGAATAAATGCTATTACCCTTTGTAATGTACTAGCTGAAACTAAATTATACAGACTTTCTTTATGCCAAGTGGAAATTGTTTCTACCAGCATTTATATACTTTATCAGATAACATATTTCATTTTATCAAAGCAGTCAGTTTTTACTGTCTATTGAAAAATTTGACATTTGTTTTATTTTTCTCTAGAAAATTCTATTAAATATATTAAACTTTCTCCAATTAATTGAAGTCCCTTATATTGTTTTGAGGTAACATGTTAATGTAAGACATTCATATTCTGTTGATAGCAAAATGTTTCATTTCTTGTTCAAATAATCTTTTGCTAATTGTCAAATTCAGTTTTTAGTGTTTATTGTGAACTTTACACTATTTTGTGGTATTATGTGAAATAAGCTTGTGAAAATTTATAAAAATATAACTGGGATTATATTGCTTTCAAATAGGAAAATGTGGCAGAGATTTAGAATATTTTGAGGTTTTTTGCTAATAACATTAATGTTGCCAAATGAGATAGGAATTCAGATTTACACAAACTTAAATAACATTCTCAACATTCAGAATTATATTCTCCCTTATTGACATTTTTACTAGAATATATTGTGGCATCTCTCACCTTTCTTGGTTCCCTGACAATTTTTAGGTAAAAATGTAGAGTTGGCATCAATCTGTGCGTGGTGGGAAGGGCTAAATGCAAAACTTGAAATGACATGCTTACCAGTAAATTAGCACAGGCTAAAACTTGTAAACTGAGTTGGAATTTTAATCCGAGGCTACTTGTGTTCACTTACTCTTTCTTCATTAGTGCTGTGTTTGCACAACCCCTGAATTGTTCCGTTGCCACATATCCTTTGATAGAAAAGAGTGGGTGAATGAGCATCTGCAAAATTTACTTTCACATAATTGCTTAACATGTTATAAAAATAGCGAAAGCTGTCAACTATGACAGGAGTCAACGATCAGTAGCAGAAATTAGTCTTATGTATTCATTGATAATCGAAAACTGGGCAGTGTCTTCAACAAGTGAAATTAACCAATTTATGATAAACATGTTGAAAGTCTTAACACTAGCTTGTTTGTCCTATATATCACAGTATCCATAGCTCTATGAAAAATGAATGCCAGAAATCAATACTTTTACAATTATTATATAATCTGCATTGGCTGCATATTATCTTATATTGTTATATTCATCATTACCAGTTGTTTAGTGTTGGTCCTTTCATTGTAACAATGTACCTGTCACATTATTAGCAAATTCAGTATAGCAAAATATGTAATAAGTTAGACTGATATATAACTTTAACAAGTGTTCTGAAATATGGCACTTTGTGATAACTGGTATCAGTCATAGGTTGTTTCCTGGGGTCAGTCTGTACATAAGGCTAATTGGAGGTCGATTCCTTCATTAAAGCATGAGATACTTTTAAATCTGATATATGAATAACAAAATCATCCCGTTCTGTAATGTTTTAAGTTTATACATATACACTCACTGTTCTCTATAACAAGGCACTGAAAATAAATGTGACTCTGAAATGATTTCACTTTTAACTACTTAACTTGAATTGATAGCTTATTGGTGAAAGTTTAATCAAATTATCAGTATTAAAAGCAATGGTGGAATCATTCTACAAATTTAAGATTTAGATTTTTATTCTAATGTCCATGTTTTAGTTAATTGTCCTTTTTAGTACTTCTCCATTCCATTTCCATTGAGTTTGTTACCCAGCCTAGTAAGTGAACTATACCTCCAAATTCATTAACCAATGCTTTAATCCTCTTGGCTATCGTGTCCTGGATCAATCCTGAAGTTAGAGCTTTAAATATAATGTTCATCCTACTCCCTCTACTGCTACTGCAGTCTTATTGTCAGCTCCTCTTTGTTGATATTTCTTTTGCATTGCCTTTTTTTGCTACTGTAGGCTTTTTACTATGCCCCAGTGTTATTAGTTGCTGCTATTTCTGATATATGATGGTGATAGTATCTGTTGGATGTTTGACTTGGTATTTCAAGGAAAATTTGATGTTATTCTGGAGTTGACAAAAATCATAGATCTGTTACCAAATAATACAATTTTAGTTTTTGGGGAATTGAAATAGGCAGGATTAATTTCTGCAATGTCTCTTAATCAAATTTTTTTTTATGATGTAAATAATCTCCTTAGTATGTACTACATCTTTTGAGGTAACATGAAAGTTTAATGATTTTTGTCAAAAATGATTGTTCAACCAAAATCATTTTTTTAACTCCTAACAAGTAATCATTTATTGCATCTAGGTCTAACCAAAATTAAATTTAACATTGGATATTTTTTCCTCTCAGGCTGGTGCCAGTGTCAATGCTATGGATCTGTGGCAGTTCACACCATTGCATGAAGCAGCATCAAAAGCACGAGTGGAGGTGTGTTCTCTTCTCTTGGCTAATGGTGCTGACCCAACCTTAATGAATTGTCATTCCAAAAGTGCAATTGATGTTGCTCCAACTAGAGAACTTCAGGAAAGACTTCAGTGTATGTATTTTCATTTTCAACTAGTTTTTACCAAAGATTGAATTTTTTTTTTTTTTTCTTTATTCTCTCACTAGCCAACAATTAATGTTTAGCTTATTTTGCAGCATCTCTACTTACATGTAAATTATCTTAAAGCCTATTCAAAGAACAATGATTTTTAGTAAAAAAACACTTGTTAATGAACTAATGTCTTTCTGCAAATGTGTTATAACATCTGGAATAATAAAAATTTCACTTGGAATGTTGTATTTTCATTTTTAATTTATTTAAATTGACTGCCTGGTTTAGGTAACTAAAAATGAGATTGAAATTAAAGTTTTGATTTACTGCTGTAAAAATGTAAATCTGAAATAGATGAATATCTGAAAATGCCAAAGAAACTGATTATAGCAGGAAACTGTTTCTTCTGTAGCATAGACACTGGAACAACGCTCGCAATGGACTCTAGAACAAACTGCAATGCACTGACCTGTGCTGAGCGCAAACTCTTATGACATCCCAACAAATACTTGACTCTTTTATTCATTTTTGCCAAGCGAGAATATTAGCATTTGTGCACACTGCCAACCTCAATCTGGCTCAGTGACGTACGTACTGCCATTCCAATGCTGATGTTTGTATAGTTTGACTCGCTCACAATTTGTTCGTCTTATGTGCAAATTTAGGCTATATCACTCGGTCCCTTTTGGACCTTCAAGGTAATTCTCTAGCACACTCCTTGCTGATCTTCTGATCACAAAAGTGGTAGCCTGGCAGCAATCACCTCTACTGTATTCTTCTTGGCTTATTCTCTTGCTTTTTTCTCAGGCGAACTGTCCAAATCTGTATCTTTATCATGCAGCAGACTCTCCAACCTGCACTTTGAAAGCATCGAGCTGTCAGAGACTTCTTCTGACATGACACTGACATGTGTGTACAGTTCCTTCATGTAGTGGGGCATTCCATCCACCAGACAGAACTGTGGGCTAATTATTTTAGTTACCTGACCCCTGCTAAACTTTATGGTACACCAACTTGAACCACTCATGATCTCTCTCACCACATCATCCCAGCCCTTCGTGACCAAACTGGCTCTCCTCTTGATTATTCTGCAAGCCATGCTAAGCTACTCACATATCAGGAGGTGCCCGACAAATCTCCCACAAAAGGAGAACGCTGTCCATTATGTAACGATGTCTAGAACTTCTGGGACTGTGCTTCCTTGCTTCCACCACAGTTCATCATGTTCCATCCTGATGGTCAATCCTAGCACCTGTGTGCCATCCTCCAACTGTTCTGGATCCTTGCATTTCAGCCCAAACCAAGCCAAGTGTTCTCTGATGCAAGTCATGGGCACAGCATCTTTGTTGACATAGATGTTGATGTAAGCTAATCCTGTGTGGTCAATGGCTTCTTCCAGCAGCATTGATGTACTGACAATGGCCTTCATAATAAGGAGAGCCACATTTAGGCTGAACCCCAAATGTGTCAGGCAGTACCGTTTCCCATTAGTCTTCATGGTCCGGAATGGCCACAGCGTCTTGTGGACATGTAATACACCTCTCCTGAGGTCCAGCAGAGATATGTTTGAACCATTCTGCTGCCATTCACTAACCTTATCTGCACAGATATCTGCATTAGTGGTGAACATGACAATGTGATGGCTGAGCTCTTGCTAGTACATCATTGGACATACCTTTGCTTTATTCTGCTGCAGTACAGCCATCAGAGGAATTAACCCTTTGAGATGCACCAGCCTTTCTTCCGGGTATGTCATGAACCAGCCATTGTCTACCCATGTGTGTAGCCCCTGCTCAGTCCTTTTGGATCACTGCGGCTACCGGATATTCTGACATCCCATTTTGCAATCCTTCTGGTGCACGATTCCCTGACCACTTCCATGCTGTGGTTCCTGCTCGGCTCTGATGGACGAAGGTGGCAGTGAACTCTGGTTTATTGATGAAGATGGCTGCACACACAGTGACTTTCCGTCGCTGATTTGCACTGATTCTGTTGGCCCAACAACAATGTCTCGTAATGCTTTTATCGCATCAATCCCTAACAGCAGATCAAACCCCAGTGGTGTGCAATGCACCACCAAAACATTGATCTTGGCAAAATCACCTTTGTCTGCGGATGTGGTGACCACTTTGACATCGCAACATACATGGGATGTACCTGCAATCATCCTGATAGCCACCCTTGTGTTCTTCCAGGATTGGTACCGACCTGCATCTACTATTGATTGTGAGCAGCCTGTGTTAATTAGCGCCAAATGCTGCATCCTGTCAATGTAGATGCTTGTTTCCGAGAGTGCAGCAATTAAATCTTGGTAGGAGAGAAGGCTGGTGCTGATTTCTCATCCCCTGGCCTGTTTCCCGAACAATACTTGACCCAGTGCCAAACTTTACTATATTGGTAACAATATATTCCACACTTTTGGCAGTCCCTTGCTGCTGCATCTGTAGCTGGTTACACTGGTGCTGGTGTCGCTCCTGGTAGGAACTATGGTATTACTGCAAGGTGGGTGCATGGTTGCAACCACATCTTGGCTTTGGTCCCCAGTCATCGTCAGCACTCTTGCTCTTGCTATTAGTTCCCCCATAGGCCTGTTGAAGTTCGATGGAGATGGCATCAGGGAGCCCAGTTACAAAAGTCAGTTTAGTGAGCCTTTCCAACCCACCTCCCTCGAACCGGGCCAATCCGACCAACAGCCAGCCTGATTCTGTTTGCATAAACATCCACCTGCTCGCCAGATCACCTGACCAGTCAGCTTCCTGTAGGTTCTCCAGATACAATGGCAGCAGGCTTGTTACATCATCCACCAGCTAAAGTCTTGCTTCCAGCCTCACCTTTTTCAGTCATGTCTCCCTCACCAGTAAATGGCTTTATCATGTCTCTGCTTATGTATACCTTTGTCATAGTAATGGTGCTGAAATAGCTTGTAGCAGGAAACTGTTTCTTCTGTAGCACAGACACTGTAACAACACTCGATGGACTCTGGTTTAGCACACGACTTTACCTGCGCTGAGCACAGACACTTACTGACGTCCCAACAAATGCTCACCTCCTTTATTCGTTTTTGCAAAGGCAGAAAATTAGCATTTTGTACATGCTGCCAGCTTCAGTCTAGCTCGGTGATGCATGTGCTGTGTCATTCCGGTGTCAATGCTCATACAGCTTGCTTTACTCACAATTTTCTCGTCTTATGCATAAATTTAGGCTATGCCACTTTGGCCCTCTTGAACCTCCGAGGTAATTCTCCAGCACACTGATGCAATTAAATATTAAAAGTCCAATTCTTGTAAGTTTGTCTTCAGTATGCAGTATGAACCATTATTGTTAAAAATTGTTTTTTTTATTGCAAGTTTTTACATTTCTATTTGTGTAATAAACATGTTTGAAAAGTATCAAGTCTCTTTTCTGTTTTAGATGAATACAGAGGTCATTCACTTCTTGAGGGAGCAAGAAATGCTGATTTAGCCAAAGTTAAGAAATATTTAGCATCAGATATTGTCAATTTTAAACATCCTCAGACAGATGAAACTGCTTTGGTGAGTTGTATGCATTTTCTCACTGAATGAAAATAAACATTTGTTTGTATATCTTTTAATATTACCACTTTCTATTAGTTTTATTTTGTATTTTTCAAAATAGTGGCAGTTTTTAATTTTTAATAACTTTGCATGTATCAACAGTTACTGTAAAAGTTTTTGGCCTGATGCAGTTATTAAAATCTGAATAAATGACTAAACATATCTGAGAGAGAAAAAAATTCTTTGGAATCCCTTTTTGGCTGAAATGAGAACTTTTCAGCACCCGCTCATATTGCAGTAGTTCTCCTACTTTTTTTTTTTTTTTTTTGTTTTTTTGCAAATTCTAAATGATCTAATGTTTGTAAATTTAAAAAAAAAAAATTATAAGCAAGTTTCTTTTAATTGCACTATGACTTTGTATTCACAATATTTTTTTTTAATATTTTTAATATTGTCTAGCATTGTGCAGCTGCTTCGCCATACCCTAAGCGTAAACAAGTCGTTGAAACACTCTTACGTAAAGAAGCATTGATTAATGAGAAAACAAGAGAGTGAGTTTTGCATCTTGATATTTATAACATTGTAAATGTTTTGTAAAACTATGGTGTTTTCTTTTTATTTTGAACCACATAACCAATGTTTTATCTACTGACCTTTTTAAAAATAATTGACTGTACCTTTATCCAAAAACTGTGGCAGAAATTTGTCATTTACTAGTAAGCCATTGAACTGTAATAGTGACAATTTCTGTCATCTGTAGTTAATGGGCTAGCTACTGTAATTTAAAAAAGGGTAAAATGTTCTACTGTCTTCAATTTAAATAGAATGAATTTATTTACTGCATATTTATGTCTTTACTTAAAGATGATAATTAGCACTTAATTAATGACTGTATACTTTAACCCTTTACCATTCACATTACACAACATAAAAATAATTAAAAGTAAAATATTTATTTTAATTTTTAACTTTTATTTTTAATTATTTTTTAATGCTAATTACAGTCTATTTTTAATATATTACTATTAAATATATATTCGTTTTAATAAGAACAAGTAATCTCCCTTTAATGATATAATTTAAAAAAAATATATATTCCCCAGAAAATTTTTTAAATTATATATTTGAATATATAATTTTTTTTTACATACATATAAATCTTGCTTATTTTAATTGCCAAATATAATTCTAAAATGAAAAAAAAACAAAAAAAAAAACAATTCTAGCATAATATATAACTACGCCAACATTGTGATAAGCAGATATATTATATTTCAAAATTATTTAATGGTCAGTCTATACTCGGTAGCTGAAGATTGCGTTGTGCATGAAACTCGGTAACACTAAGTTTTTCAAAATTTTAAGTGAGAATTTTATTTGAACTTTTCTTGTGATGTGGTGAATCCACGTATTCTATTTTTACAAGTGTTTTCAGTTAATATGTCATGAACTAAGTATATAGTTCAATTAATATAGTGTTATGTCTTAGTAGTAGTTTTTTATAGGAATTTTTTTGTACTGCGGGTCTTTGCACGTTCCGATATTGTACACAACCGTCAATAATAGCACATTCTCAAAAAAAAAACATCTTACAGTCTACAAACAATTATTTTGTCTCCATGTTTTAATTTTATAAGGAAAAAAATATGCCTGAGGATGAATAAAGGATTATTCGAAAGTACTTGCATTTAAAAAAAATATAAACTGGAAACAGACCTCAGTTTTATAAATGAGGATCACATCATTCTATGGATTAACAGTATTTTAATGCATACATTATATACTACTAGCGATGGATATTGCCAATAATAGCATTAATATTGCTGATTGATTCTATGCGTGATTATTTCTCTGTATATAAATTATATGCTGCCTAATGTTTTATGTTTATATAGCATAATGAGAAGCCACGTATACTTTCTTAATATGTATATATAGAAAAAAAACAAAGTTGCAAATTAAAAAAAAAATGTTTTTTTATGAAAGTATTTATTTATATTTTTTTATATATGTAACAAACCTTGTTGCTTAGTTTGCAAACACTTAATAATAATGTATTTTCTGTACCCAACACCAATATCAAGATACACCCACCTCACCTCACCTGTGGTAGCCATAACATAATCTACTATTTATTCTGCACAATATGTCTCAATAGTGGATATATTGGTGAATCTGGAAATAATTTTAGATTTTGCTTCAACAATCATAAACAAACCATACATCAAAACAATCCTTATTTCCCCATAGCTGAACACTTTAATCAATCAGGACACTCATTAGAAAACTGTAAATGTTTATTGATAGATTCTGATTTAAGTTCCACATACACGCACAGAAAAAAAGAAAAATACTGGATTTTAAAATTAAATACATATAAACTAGGGTTAAATAAACACTTGGGTATTTTAAATTTTTATAAATATTTCAATAGTTAAACATTTTTTTAGATATAGTTAAAAAAATTTTTTAGACAACATCTAAAATATTATTACAGTTAGATTTATGTTAAAAATATTCGAACACAGTTGCATTCCATATCACGTAATGTCCGCATCTCGCAACAGACGCTACTTGTAAACAAACCTCTAAAAACAGTTATTTCTGAAGAAAGATCGAGGTCAATCTGAAATATTAAAAACTATATATATATATAAGTTTCTATTGCCAAATTTTCATAAAAAGAATCTATCCAAAAATGCTGGAAAAATGACATTGTAGAGATTGGAGTGTTTGCCCACTCTTGGTCCTTATGTGTCAACATCATTATCCTTAACTGAATTGGGCACTTTGAGGTGATGTAATGGTTAGCATGCTTGTCTTGCTAGATCAATTATGGCTGAGTAGTGAGTTCAATCCTCACTGGGTGACCCCCTACTTTCTGCCTTGTGCCACATCTAAGATACTCTTGGAAAATCACTATCCTTACCTGAATCAGTCAGTTTGTTGCTGTTAATGTCAGAAATATTGATACCTGATTCATATTGAATTTCTTTTAGTTTTTTTTTTTTCCTTTGATTATCCTTCAAATGAGCACTCTAAATCACTAGACTCCATTCCATTATGATCCTTGATTTCTCATTGCCAAAAACAAGATGAAAAGTAGATTGTAAAACTTGTATTTTCTTTGCTAATCAAAGAAGAGATGGCAGAAGTAGCATGTGGTCAAAGTTTCACTGTTTGTGTAACTTCCTGTGTTATTTGCAATGTTATTATCATATATTATGACAGTATACAAGAGTTGGGTTTGAGCGTGTTGAATGCTAAAGGGTTGAATACTCTTAATTTTAAAAAATTTTCTATTATTTGCATTATAAGCAATCTTTCATTTGTTTTCTGTATTACAGATACTTTTTGACACCTCTTCATATTGCTGCTGACAAATCTCATTATGATGTCATGGATATACTTTTGAAGAAAGGAGCACAGGTAAAGTTGTTGTACTGTGTATTGGATTTTGCAAGTATTCATCATATGTTTTGTACATCTTTTTGATCTATGTTGTTTCTTACAGGTAAATGCATTAGATAGCCTTGGTCAGACTGCTCTCCATCGTGTAGCTCAGCAGGGTAATGTCCAGGCATGTCGTTTGCTTCTTTCTCATGGTGTGGATTCTACAACCATGTCATTGCAGGGGTATACAGCTGCACAACTTGCTACAGAGAATGTTAAAAAAGTGCTCAGAGGTAAGTGATAATTAACTATTACATCAATGTAAAAACTTGATGCACTAAATAGCAGTTCTGAATATTTTTCTTTTTTAAATTAATGTAGCAAATGATTTGTTTCTTGAAATAATTATTATTATAGAAATTCCTAGAAAATGTAAATGTGTTTTAATACATCATCATCAGTGCATAGACAAATTACTTATTTCAACCTGAATTACTTGTTCATATCTTCTATTAAATGATTAATTTTTAGATCTTTGCCCCTATGTATTTTATATTTGTATCATGAAGAATTACCCAATAAATTATAATTATCCCAAGTAACCAGATTCTACTGAAGAATAAATTATTTTTTACATATTTTTCTTTTTATAAAATGCTGGTGTCTATGTGCTATAACAAACTAAACCATTGGTAAATCTTCCAAATACAACCCTACTAACACTAAGCCTGCCAAATGAACTTGAAATGACAAAAAGAAACAAAGAACAAAAAAAAAGGAAAAGAGAAGACATTTTCCTGCTTAAGAAATAATCTAAAGGCCAAATAGGCCAAGACAGCAGTAACACTAACCAATGAAACTGCACACAGAGACTATCCAAATTGTTGTTTTGAGTTTCACACAATTGTTTGACAAGAGCTAATAAGAACACCAACCTCATATAATTACTCTCAAATAATTTCTGATTGTCTTAAATGTATCTTTTTACATATCTTTATTTGGAAGGGGATAGATTTTATTTAGAAGAGTGTAACCATAATTTCCATGGTAAAAAGTCTGTTGTCCATCCTTCAATTCAAGTTATTTCAACTTAATGCAATTAAATTAAGACAATTATATGAATATTTTACTTAGAATATTTCAAAAGAATATGAAAACCAACCAGAATTCTTCTGTTCATTGTATGTCTTTAAAATCTGTTCTCTTGTATTTAATCTCCAACAGAGGGGCCTTCAGTTGAAGTAACAGATGTGGACATTCAACTTTTAGAGGCTGCCAAATCAGGTGACCTTGATCTTGTCAAAGTAAGATTTTTTTAAAAATTTATTATTACACTTTCCTTAACATTATTTGTTTATATTAGTATATAAGGAAATCTTTCTGGTAAATGATAATATTAATTAGTTGATAATTATGCAAAATTCAACATGAAATTTGTCTATAATAATGGTCAGAAAAACCTATCATGATTAGCTGTTTGGTTCAGATTGTATAAAGTTAAGTAAATTGATTTATGATTCATTTTTATTTATTTTTCAATCTTCTTTATGTATCTAACTATATTTATTTTTTACCTTTTTAATATCAGAAAAAAGAAACCTGTTCTAATATTTGATAATAAATTTGTTTTAGTCATTAGACACTAATATTAAAAAGTGATTCATTTATTTAAAAAAATAATTTCTTTACTTTGGGTAGACCATTTTCAAACTATAATTTTTTAAAAATTTTTTTTCCAAGATGAAGCATTGTCAGTCATAATTTTTTTTTTTTTACTAATATTTCTTAATTTTTAAACATTTTAGTTGTTTTTTCTAAAGTTTTCTGAAATTTTACTGTTGAAAATATTTTTACTGTTAAAATAATGTAAGTTTTAAAGAACTAAATTTTTCCTCTTTTTTTTTTTTTTTTTTTTTTTTTTTTTTTTAACTATTCCTTCAATAAAAAGTGAATATCATTTTGCTGTCATCTCTGATTCTCTTAAAGTTTATTGATCAACCATTAATGAGTGTTTAAATTTAAAATTTTCTTTTTCTTTTCAAGAAATTAATAACTGCTCAACCATCAGCTGTCAATTGCAGAGACTTAGATGGCCGACATTCCACTCCTTTACATTTTGCTGCTGGCTACAACAGAGTTAGTGTAGTTGAATATTTATTACAGAATGGTGCTGATGTTCATGCTAAAGACAAAGGGTAAGTCCTCCATTTAGCTGCAGCAGATTTAGAAACGTTAGAACATTTTGATCAAGTTTGAATTTTAACTTTCTAAATAATTTTAAAACAATTTTTCACCTTTCAATTTAAAAACAATTTTGAATATTAAAATTTTGACAGTGCTTTTATGGAAATCTTAATATTTATACAACCTTATTTTCTTGCTGGGGTTCAATTGTTTGATGTGAATTAGAATAGACATTTGCTGTTAAAAATTTGAACTTCTCAAAAATTATTAAATGCCTCAAAATTTTATTCAGTAATTTAAAAAAAAACTTGTTACGTTATGTCTGCATTACATGTTTTTTTACTTTTGTTTTTATGTAAGGGTGTATTTTTATTGTTTTTTTTTTTTTTAATTATTTATAGAGGCTTAGTTCCATTGCATAATGCGTGTTCGTATGGTCATTATGAAGTAACAGAGCTTCTTATCAAGGTGAGGAGATCATTATCATCTTTTTAGATTATCATGCTTTTAACATTCAAAAGTTAATTTTGATATTCATTCTGATTGGTTATTTGTTCATCTTTACACATTGATACTTTAAGATGAATTGTGATAAATGATGTACAAGGGGGAAATGTGTCATTTTGTTAAAGATTACTGATGAGTCAGCATTGATTCCTGTAAGTTCCTTGTAGAGTGTAATGTTACATCTGCAATTTTAATGAAGTGAAGTTGCCACAGAATATTATTAGGTTGATAATTTTAAAATGTTACTGTCTTCATGTATGTGACACAACCAAATTGGATTAAACATTGAAAAGTGGAAAATTTAATTTGCTGTTTTTGATGGCTTATTGACACTAAAGAGTTTGAAGACCATCAAGACATAAAAACATCACTTGTACTGTTATATTGTTTACTAATTTATCAGAGAGGTACTCGTTGTCTGCAAGAATAGGAGTAACAGTTCACTGCTAATTCTGATATATTTTTAGCAGAAACAGTAAATTTATATCAGTTGTTATCACTACCTATTTTTCAGACCATAAAAAGTCACATGACATAATTCTGCTATATGAGTGGGGGCAGGCTAAAAAGTTCTTGGCATGATCAAGAAGGGATTTTTAAAAAATTGGTCATTTGATTAGATGTTAAAAAAAAAAAGTTTCAGAATATCTCCATATGAAATATGTTAGATGTTTGGCAGAGACTATAGAAGATTACAATAACTGAATACAACATTGCTAGATGAATATTCAATGAAGCTGCAAGAACTAAGACAAACCATATAAATTAGTATGTGATTTGTATGTGATATTATTGACAATGTCATAAGCAGTAAATAATGAATTTGTATTGGCTATTTAATTGTTGTATTCGATGTTGTCTGCTACAGTTTATTTGAATTTGACACTAGTAATGACATGGTCGCTGATGGATAGAAATTCATTTGGCATTGACAATGCAGTTTTGCAGACACTGAGTGGCGACAGTCCGTTTCATGCTTGAATGCAATCTTCAGATGGTCTGAAGATTATGTTCAAGCATGAAACTGTCACTGCTTGGTGTTGATCCCAGTGTCCACCTTTATATTTCCATCTGCTCAGTCTGATATTGAGCACTTTTACCCATAAATATAGCATACCTTAAAACTATTTTTATCATAGATGGAGCAGAAGAGACAGTGTTTCAGTTGTTGTAGTCTTATTTGGTGACTTGAACTTGAGGATATGTCATTTGACTTGCACAATATAGTTTTGCAATAAGTACAGTAGAAAGATTAAGGAAATGAACATTCACATAGATGAGCTACTGAACCACAAATGTGCAGAATAAAATCTTATTTGTTGTTTGCCATATTAGTGAGTTGCAGCACGGTATATTATAATTTTTTTCTTTCCAAATCATAAATTGCTACTATAATAATATAGGTTACATAAAGTTACTAGTTCTATTAAATTTGTTATCATTTCAGTATCATCTAAAATTTCTGTTGCCTTTTATAGCATGGGGCTCATGTGAATGTTGCCGATCTTTGGAAATTCACTCCACTTCATGAAGCTGCTGCCAAAGGGAAGTTTGAGATTTGTAAACTTTTACTAAAGGTAAATAAATTTCTTACTCTCATCACATTTACATGCTGCTATGGGGTTTTCCTTTTTTTTTCTATCAGTTAACCAACTGATATTTTTTATTCCATTTATTATATTTATATAAAATGGTGATAAATTGTGGGTTTCTATTTTATTAATCTTTGATAACAAATATGCATGAATTATTATCTCTATTTGAAATTCAGCCAGTTCATATAATCTCAAACTTTTTCTTTCTTTGTTCTAGACTCTAATTAGTCTTAAGATATAAATAGAAAGTATGAAGACAATATAAAAAGTTACTCTGGCTTACTGTCATTTTTTTCTAGCTTAGTAAAACTGAAGTAAATAAGAGTTTTTATCAAATTATCTGCAGTGAAAATCTTAAATAGTTAATGAATTAAAATGATGTAAAGCAGCAAGTTGCTTGGTAAACTGGTTTTATTTTTGTGTGAATTTAAAAATGGTTTTTACATTTTCTCTTTTGTTTAAAATATTTTTTTAATTGAATTTGAAAGACTATAATTTTGACTCTTGATTTCTACTGTAAAAAAAATGTTTACATCTACTATCAGGACATAGATAATTATGTATGACCATTAAAAACATTTAAGGTTATTTTTTTAATTTTTTAATCAGAATGGAGCAGACTTAAATAAGAAGAACAGAGATGGTCACATACCTTTAGACCTTGTGAAAAGTGGTGATACTGATGTTCAGGATCTTTTAAGAGGTAACCTTTTTTCTCATTAGCTGAAAATGCTTAAAAATTAATTAATTTTTTTTCTTTTGTATAATCTTGGATATTTTTAAAATTTTGCTTAATCTTTTGTATATTGAATTGGATTTATATAAACTTTCTATCCTTATGAAATTCTCTTGTTATGACTGATTTAGTTTTATTGTAAAAATGCTAAGTGTTTATATGTACTTTACTATAGGTGATGCAGCATTATTAGAAGCTGCTAAGAAGGGCAATTTAGCTCGTGTCCAGAAGCTGGCCACAAAAGATAATATCAACTGTCAAGACACACAGGGACGCAATTCTACACCTTTACATTTAGCAGGTTAGTTGTTTATTGAAAATTACTTGTCTCTGTATAGGTATCATGTTGTTTAGATAAAAAATCTGTACTCATCTAATTTTGAAAATGTATTATCCATGTTTTTATTCTTTTTTTTTCTTTGATAAAAAGAGATCTTATGAGTGACGATGTAATATGAACAGTTTCAATTTAGTTCTTTGAATAGAAAAATAATATTTGCAGTTCATCAGTTATATTCTTAGTATTGAAAAGTTCACTTGTTTTGGAAATTTATTTTGAAAATTTATTTTTTGATTAGTTTGATCACATAATCTTGTTCAAAATAAGTAATTAATGATATTCAAACATCAAATCATAGTTACCAAATATCAAACACTATTAGCTCCTGATAAAGAATTTCAGTTTATCCTGAATTCTGTATTTTGCAGAACATGATCTGTTGCATTGGTAGAAGATTGTATTGAAATCCTACATTTAGTTCCATTGTCATATTGTCACCCCTACATCCCAAGTTAACCCACTTGCCATTCTCTCCTCTCAGTCGCTAATTTTATTCAGTAATAATGATCTTATGGGTCATCTGGCTTTCTCTTCCCTCCTTGATTGGGCCTGGTGTATCATCTCTCTAAGGTTGATTTGGGCTTCCCAAAATCTTATAATATTGGAATTGATGGCAATCTAGCATGAACACCTGTGTATGTTGTGTACCACAGAAAAGATTGTGTAGTTCCTCTCTGTGGCCTTGTGAATCAGGCTGGAACAAGAACTCTTTCAATAAAATGCGCAACACTGTTGATAACTCTAACAAGTTTATTGAATATAAAGAAAAACTGCTTGAATAAAATGTCTCTATTATCTACTGCAAAATCAAGTTGTCTACTGCAGGATGGTGATTGGGAAATCTAGTTGTGAACGCTAAAGTAATAACCAGCCTGTTTCAACCAGCCTCAGTTTTTCAGAGTATAACCAGCCTGTCTATTCTCATTCAATTCTTCATTCAGTCACTTCTCACTCAATTTTTCTGTCATGAGTGTCTCTGTGTTTTCACTCTGACCATGGGCATTGCAGGTGTGCTTGCTAGCAACAACTGTCCTATGAGCAGTCCTGGGTCGCTCCAAACTGACTTCTCCTGGGCCCGTGTGTGTGTGTTTTTACTCCAAACACAGGAAATGTGACCAGAGTGAATCTCTGACAACTTTCCTTGTTGAGCTTGATTCTCCAACTGTCTGTTGGCCTGTTGTTTATATAGACCCCCACCCCAAATTTGACATTGATGTATCTAATTTCTCCACCCTGACTGTCTTAATCTTAGAAGATCTTGCCAATTAGCCATATGGTGCTCTTTTTCTTTAGAATCTTCCTAGATATTTTTATGTAAAGATAGTAGTCTTGGCTGGTCAACATAAACAAATCCGCAGTTTGGGACTTAACAAATTCAAAATTCTTCTTTGTCTACAATAATTTGTAAGATCACACATGTTTTACACAGACAGTACTACAATGTAAACAAACTCCAAGCTTGGGACTTGAGCAAAAACAGATATCTCTTTCTTTGTCTAAAAGAAATTGGAATATTATTTTCTATAAGATCACATACATTTTAGACTGATAGCATAATGTAAACAAACTTCTGAATTTAATTTATCAAGACCAAAATAATCCAGAAAATACATTAATCATGTTTTATCAGCAGAAAGTGGGTAGTGGGAAATTTTGGTTTTACTAAATTTTACTGAGCTGTGGCTAGGTAATTCCCTGGTTTGATTCTCACTGGAACTGTTTTTAAATTCATTTTGTTATTTTAAAGCATAAATAATTTTAATGTTTTTTTTTTTTTTTTTTTTTTTAAAGCATTCAACCTACTCTCTTAAGAATTTTAATTATCATTTTCCAATTAGTAGTGCCTTCAAATCACCATCCTGTAATTTCATGCAATTAAATGTTTAAAAAGGGTTAGTACCCTGTTATGATACTGATAGGAACATGTTCTGAAAGATGATCAAAAAATTTACTTTTAAGATACCATTACAATACAAATGAAAACTAGATTGCTTAAGTTAAGAAAACTAAAGCGATTAGAATCTATCAGAAGCTTGAATTGAATTTGTTTGTATTTTTTTTAATATTAAAGTTATCCTGATAATAAAAAGTATATTTATAATATAATTTACTTTGCATATTAAATATTTTAAAATCATCTTAACATATCAAGCTTTCTGAAATGTTAATTTTTTTAAATTTTAAAATAATTTTAGTTTAATAAAAATAATGTCATAATACAATGTTTTTACTTAATGTTTAAATCTTTTTGTAGCTGGTTATAACAATCAAGAAGTGGCAGAATTTCTTTTGGAGAATGGAGCCGATGTAAATGCTATGGATAAGGGAGGTTTAATACCACTCCACAATGCTTCTTCTTATGGGGTTAGTAATCTCTCCTCTTGTCTAATGCATATATAATTTTAGATACACTTGTAAGACTGATTAGTATGATGAATTACTAGACTTAAAGGGAAATTCAGAAATGTAAAGCTAGCCTTTTTGATTATCAATGGATTTTAATAGATTCTAGATGGATTTTTATACTCAGGATTTACAGTGGAGTAATCAATATCGGTCAAATAACTCCTTGATAATACTTTGTAAAAACAACATTCAGTATCTTTTGAATGTGCAAATGGGTATCCAGCTTAATTTTTCATGTTGAATTTAAGAATTCAAATATGTTTTGCTTTTAATAATTTGTAGCCAATATTGATAGTATGTTTTCTCAAATGTTCAGCAGATGAATTCTGGTATGTAGGTAAAATGTATTTTTATATATATATATATATATATATATAATTTTTGTTTGTTGTTTTTTTTTTTTTTTTACTGAAACTGTTTACAAATATACAGAATCTGTATTAAATCATTCAGAACACTTTTTGCAATGTTCAGAGATATTCTAAAGTTTATTTTAAAAATCTTTCCCCCCCTTTTTTATTTACTAATCTAACAATATTTTTTCCTCACAGCATGTGGACATAGCAGCTCTTTTAATTAAATTTAACACTTGTGTCAATGCTGTTGATCGTTGGGGATACACGCCTTTACATGAAGCTGCACAGAAAGGTAGAACACAACTCTGCTCTTTATTGGTAAGTTTATAATTTATTTATTGTATTCAAGATCTGAAAAATATATTGTCTGATTTTATTTGAGTAGCTTAACATTGTTTCTCTTTTGACTTAAAAAAAAGAATTAGGACATTTTAATTTTCTTTTTTGTAGGTGTGTATTTCCTTCTGTTTTTTATTTTTATTTATTTATTTTTTCCTCTTTCCAAGTTGGCTCATGGATCAGACCCAGTCATGAAGAATCATGAGGGCCAAACACCACTGGATCTTGCTACTGTAAGTTTCTCAATTTCAATGCTTGCCTCAGAATTGAAATTGGTTATGTCAAACTATTACTTAGTTTCTAATTATTTTTGTCAAGGAACATATATTTTCTTGAGGAAAAAACTTTTTTAGTCAAAAGCTACAGCATACTAATTTTCTTTTTGCTATGCAATGTATATGCCCATATTTGTATTATATAGAAAGGATTACATGGAATTTTCATTTTGAAATCCCCTTAATAATAATAAATTTGCATAACATTCTTGTTTTTATATTTGGCTTTTTTTTTTTTTTTTTTTTTTTTTTTTTTTTTTAATTTATAGGCTGAGGATGTAACTGCTTTACTTCAAGATGCAATGCAAGGTCAACCAATACCCAGCACTCCATTGACAAAGCCTTTAACTACAGTCTCCTCTAACTCTATGTAAGTGTTATTATTTAGAATTTTGCAAAATTGGTCACACATACTTGATATTCTTTTTATCAGTTTTATTTCCAGTATACATTTAATTATACTTAGGCTATCATAAAAGCAAGCTAATTGCTTATCAATTTGATTTACTTTTTTTTTAATTAATAAATCAAGCTTATCTGCTGAGACAATGATAATATTTGAATGCGAAAAGATATTCATAGTTTTTGAGTATAGTTAAATACTAAAAAATGAAGACAACAAAGTGTTAATATGTAAATTATTTAGTACTAGATGCTTTGGGCACCTCGAGGCAGTGTAATGGTTAACAAGCATGTCTCACTAAAACAATTACAACTGAGTAGTGAGGTCAATCCTCACTGGGTACCCCCTTATTTTCGACCTTGTGCCACATCTAAGCTATGCTTGGAAAATCACTAGTACTAGTGGTTTCAATGCGAACTACAAGGTGGAAGTGTTAGTGGCAGCCATATTGGAATATTTGCTGATCTGAGAGAATACATGTACTTTCATCATTGCCATCTATAAAAGTTTCCTTTGTAAATCTGTATGTAGAATGTTTGATTTGTTAAAATATTTTTTTTAGATTTGTTGCCTATATCTTTCTGTTGATATATCTTAAATATCAATTTCAATTTGAAGCACAAATTTTGCTTCCATTATTATAATTTTACTAGTATTTTTGCTACTATACTACTTGATATTTATTTGATAGAGAATAAAATTTTGTATTTTAACAGTACAGTAGCCAGTCCTGCTCCCATCGCATCATCAGTGGCAGCAACAGCAGCAGAGGGCGCTGTTGGTGGTCTTCCTCAAATGGCCCATGTTGGTGATGGCTGCGCTGAAATGTTACCCAATGATGTTGAACAAAACCTTGAATCGATGAGTGTGGCTGTGTTTTTATCAAACATTGGATTGGAGAATTTGTGTGACATTTTTGAAAATGAAAAAATTACTATGGACATTCTTGTTGAGATGAAACAAGAAGAACTGAAAGAAATTGGCATCACTGCTTATGGTCATCGCTTCAAAATTTTGAAAGGAATAGAGAAACTCAAAAGCAATCAAAGTAAGAAATTGAGCAGTTTGTCATTATAAATGTTTACTATCTTTTTTTGGAAAGATTGTATAGAATTTGAATTAGAATTTTCATACATACTTTTCCATTTGTGATTCCTGTATTAATCCTTGGGTCTTGTATGAATCAAAAACAAGTTTTTCTTCATAACTTTTGCATCTATTAAATTTGTTTTATGTACGTTTTTTTTTCTTTAAAAAATGTTCTTTTGGCTTTAGATGACCTTCAAATAAAAGTGGAGGGTATTATAAATGACATTGTTCATTTTAAAAACTGGTAAGGTGTGTATTTTCCTATCTACACTGATGGAAAATAAAATTGCAACAACTTGAATAGATTTTCAATTTACTCAAGATTAAAACCTACAGACAATATAACTGAATGACAGTAAATGATCCCATATCTAGATCAACATATGCAATGGTTCCAAAAGAGATGGCAGATCCCATTCTTGATAATACAGTACGAGTTGTGCATTGTCTCCTAATGTTCAATGTGGGGCAGGTTTGGTGATAGTGTTAGCCAAGGAACTTGAATGGTATGGGCATTATCTTGCTGGAACAGAACATCAACTTCCTGTTTCAGGAATGGCAGCATTACAGGTTGAAAGAAGTTTAGTGAGAGTTGGCACCTGCCACACAATGATGCAAGAGTTTGAACCCGCCAAATCAACATTGGAAGATGTCACTCTCCAAGTCTATATTTTTTAACACAAATGACAATCTCTAACATGAAGATAAAATTTGCTCTCATTAATAAATACTACAGTGCTGGTTGATTTCCCTAGATGACCCAATTGTGATGCCACTGGAAACGTACACTATAACATAAGTGGAAGGGTGGCTAGAGACATGCATACCTGTAGTCCTACTGCAAATAAATATTTCCCAATAATTCATGTTGACACTCCTAGAGTTGCATTTACTCTGAACTCTACTGGAGACAAGTTGCAATCTGCCACTGCTACTCTTGACAATGCATCAATCATTGCAAGCATCTATACCACATGACTGTCCAGAACCTGGTTTATGATTGTAAGAGTCCACTTAACCACTGTTGCTAACATTGAAGCATATTATGTCCAACATGTGTAAGAATTGAAATGAAATGACTATTCAGCCTTCCAAATGTTTACCACTTCCTCAACCTGTCCAAGTGGACAAAAATAACATCCGTCCTGGGTCTGACGATAAACTACATCTGCACCCTCCTTGGTCTGATGATAAACTACATCCAACAGCAAGGCCTCTGATCAGGAGGTTTTGAGGAGTGTGGAACCACCTCTTAATTGCTGGTGTTCCCAGGTTCACCCTGACTTGGACATATAGGTGGGACCCTGGGGTCAAAACATTATGAAAGTGTAAAAATAGGTTTCAATACCAGCAATACATTTTTGAAGAAAATAAATATTACCAGCAATAAAAATCTTGTCAGTTTTAAATAACCCATTGAGGCTGATATGCCTTAAAACAAACCAAACCAGATCAAACCAAAAAATAACATCTTGGTGGTATGACACCTGTTGTCACTGGATTGATCTTTTAATTGTGTTGAACCTTATTTCAGCTTGTCACTGTTTAAATCTCAGACACAGCTGGTGCATCTGTTAATACATCACAAAATAGCTGAAGACTTTGAACATTCTATCAGAATGTTTACTTGCCCTCACATGCACTTACTATACCTAGGTTATAATGATCATTCAGGTTGTTGTAATTTCTGTCAGTTATTAAAAAAAAAATATAGAAATCATATTCAATTGTAATTCAATCAACATTTTTATTTTCCAGAGAGAAAAAAGTTAATGACTTTTTTTTTTTTTTCTTTTATGCTTGAGATTGTCGAAACCAAATTCCAATAAAAACAAAAAATAACTATACAGATATAAAATAAGAGTGATATTTTCAATGTTAAATAGAAAACATTAATGACTGAATCAAATCTAACCGAGTCCTGCAAAATACATTCAGCTGGTAGTAAATGACAAACTCAACTTGAATAACTAAATTAGCATTTGAAATTGATCCCATCAACTTTAGAGAAAGTATGTGGAGTTTTTTTTTTTTTATTACTACTAATACTAATAATATTGTGGCTACTAATTTTAAAACTCATGCTGCTGCTATTACTACTAATAAATAATATTTTTAATCATTTCACCCCAAGCAAGGTGATAATGCCACTAAGATACAGTGGGTTTACAGGGAGTGAAAGAGAATGAAAAGTCTTTGAGACAAAATGAGGAAAAGGAAGCAAAAAATTCAGGTGTATTTCGCAGGAGATAAGTGTGAGAAAGAAACTATTAGAATAGAACATACAATTACATTTAGCTAGTTCAACAGTAAAATAGTGAGACCTAGTTGCCAATCTAGTATGCTTAAATTCATGCAATTAAGGCACTAAGTAGAAAAGCATATCAGAACAATTGTAGAAAAGACAAAGGGAAGCCATGTCATGCTGGTGAAAAAATGAGTGAAGCTAGATCAGGATCAGTTACATTACAGAACCTTCTTTGAATTTTGTCAAGAATCTTGAGATATATGGTAGGAGCAGCAGAAATATAGCAGTAGTATTCAATGCACAGATGAATGGTAGAATTATAAATGTGAAAGATGGATTCTGACAAGAAGAATTGTTTGGAACAGTGAACCAACTTTCCTAGAAATAGATTCAATATAATCACTCCACTTCATGCCCTTTGAGGTTCTCTGTGGTGATCAAGTGAAAGCAGTTTTGTTTTGGAGGTCATTTTTGAAAACAGTTGCCAGTTTTACCTTGTGGGATTTGTCAGACTTTCTACTAACAGGAGTAAATAGTTGTCACCTGCATAAATACCTAGTTGGGAACTAATGACATTGGGAAGGTCATTGAAGATCAGAAACAGTGTAGGTCTGAGGATAGAGCCCTGTGGGGCCATTACACAATTTGTTAGGAATGACTGGATTAAACCAAATATTCGTCCAGGGATGTTGTAGCCTTTGAGCTTGTGGAAAAGGCCAGCATTCCAAACCCTGTCAAACACCTTTTGAGATATCTAGAGCTACACCATGAACTTTGCATTTCTTATCTAAAGCTTGATAAACAAATTAAGTGATAGTTGTTAACAAATTGGCAAGTAGAACTAGAGAAATGAGCCATATTGTTTATCAGAAAGGAAGCTGTGTGAAGTAAGAGGCTTAACCAATTCATTGTTTATTAGAGCATCTAGTACTTTGCCAAAAAGAAGTAAGAAACTAATTGGATGATAATTTGAGGGATCAGAAGGTTTCTCAGAGTTCTTAAAGACAGTAACTACAGGGAGGACTTCCAATAAGTTGGAAGGCAAGAAGTAGCAAGGCATTTATTGTAAAGTTTGGAGACTACAATGATTACTACTACAACAAATAATACAAAGACTATTACTACTGCTAATAATACAAATACTGCTACTTCTATTACTACTGCAAGTACTATTATTACTACAACACATTTTATACAAAAGGTTGGTCAAAGACTAATGCCTGTTCTTTAGAAATTACAAATTAAATAATAGATGTTTACTTAGCATACCAAAATGAACAGAAACTCTGGTTAACATAATATTCCTTTTCAGTTGCATTCCACCTTTGAACAAAGACATACATATCCTTCTTTATAGAAGTTTTTGATTAGCTTCTTTCACCTCATCATTGAATTTCTGTCATTCATCTAAATACCTTCCCACATATCTTTGGAAAGCAACCACCCTTCATGGAGTATGTTAGTATTTTGGGAGTCTGCTTTGCACACACCTTTGATTTTAATGTCCTGAATACATAGCTCACATCTTTGGCTGTCATTTTGTGCTGATAGCCATGCATTCTGTCTTATAGTTAAGTCTTTTTTTCTTGCTTTTCTTTACTACCTTATATCTAAGAGTTCTTTAAAGTTTCATTCTATCAGCATACTTGTCCACTTACCTCATGTTGTTTAGCTTATGGCCACTGATGATAAAACTTGATAGATTTTCTATTTCTTATAGGATCATTTTGCTGTATAGGGTAAATAAAGAAAATTTTGTCTTGCTCTTATTTCTGTTTTTGTGTATTGTTTGTTCTCGGCAAAGGTTATATATTATTCTCATGTTTTCTATATAAATCAAACTTTCCTAGCATTTCAAGTATGTCATTGTCTTGTACTTAATCAAATGCATTTGTGTAATCTATGAACTATAGGTTTAGGTCTGTCTGCATTTGTATTGCTTGCTCTGATAGAATTTTGATCATAAAGTCAGCATTTCTTTCTTTGAGTTTCTTTTGAACACTGTTTTTGCCTTACTTCCTTTCTAATTCTGCCATGTGCTTCTATTCATTAGAAGCCTAGTGATTTATATAACTCATTAAGCTGATTGTTTGATAGAATTAGTATTCATTTGCACCTGGTGACTTTGTCATTGCTATAAAGATATACTGAGGCCTTCCTGTATTTTACCACTGTCATATATTTCATTTATTATTTTACTAATGTCATCGATCCCAAAATTATCTCTCGCTAAAATCATTTTATCTTTGGCTTCTAGACATTTTATGGTTTATAGCAGACTGGTACAATTATAAAAGTGTGTGTGTGTGGGGGGTCACATTAATTGCATAAAATTGCCATGAGACACTAGAGTAATCTGAGTTGGATAGAAATCCACACTCAGGGATTGTGAAAAAAAATTTTTTTTTCTTCAGAGTTAAAAGGAATAATTAGATACAAAGAAATATTGAATGAATAAAATTGGGTTTTGTTTTTGTACATGATCAGTCAGTGAATTTATTTTGAACACCCACATGAAAAAAAAAAAATCACTATTTTGAAAACCCTTTGCGGATCAAATAAGATAACCACATCAGCGATATAACTCGCATGTTGTATTTTGTGCAGGCTTAATAAAATGAGGAATTCTGTTTTTGTATTTTTAAAATTACAATGAACATTTGATTGATTCACCATACATGTCATATCTACATACTTTATAATTGCTTTTTTTTATCTTAGTTGTAGGTCCTAATCTGCATAATTCCTTACCTCAGCAAGGGACTATCCTCATTGATTTATTGCCTGATGACCCTGAATACATAATGGTAGAAGAACAGGTAGGGAACGTGGAAAAATAGTTTTTTTAATGTAACTGTTCACTTGAGAAAATCTCATTACATATTTGCTCTCTATGTGAAAATATTTCTTATCCACAAAAGGATTAAAAAAAAGTGAACTTCAGTTTCGATTACCCCAAATTTTCATATCCCCATTGTTTTTTTTTGTTTGTCCAAATGTTTCCAAGAAATTGGTTATTGTATGTATATAGTTATATAATTGGTCTATAACAGAAAGAAATAGTGTTTAGTAATGAATACAAATGTTAGGATGGGAACAAGATATCATTAGATATAGCATTTTAGTCTAAATAATTAAAAACTTGAGAGCTTGGCTTTTTACAAATTCATTAAGTCTTGTAAGCCTTTTATGGTTTTTGAATTTTGGAAAATATTCATTTGCTTTTGTTTGTATTCAACTATTTCAATGATCATAATAGAATTAATAAAAATTTTACATAAAATTTTAACTTTCTTCTCACATAAAAAATACTTAAAAATTCTTGCCAATTTTTTACAAATGTAGGCTTAAAATGTTGATCAGATTAATTGAATTTTTCAGATGCAAAGCACAGTCCGAGAGCATAAAGATAATGCCGGTGGAATATTTGACAAATACAATATCATAAAGGTAAGTTTTTAATTGAGATAATGATTTCAAAAGCTAAGCAATGTATTAAGAAACAGGAAAACTTCATTAGAAATTTTAAGGAAAGCAGAAACAAAAAGGCTGCTTATACTTACAATCAGAAAGACAGTTGAAATTTCTAGGACACATCATAAGGGCTTGGAGAACTTGACACTCACAGGACATATTAAAGGCAAGAGGGAAAGAAGGAAACAGCAAGTAACCTAGTTAACAAGCTTGCATAAATGGATGGTAGAACATAGACTAGGAATGATGGTGAAAAGGCAAATGTTACTAGGAGCTACAAAGGATAGGAAGTTGTGGGGTACCATGTTTGCTCATGTCCTGAAGGGGCATAGCACATGGAAGATGGATTTCAAGATATCATGAACTTCATTTTATTTCTATTGCAAAGCATTTCTCATTCATATTTGTACTGTTTTGGAACAGTTTTATTTTTTTTATTTTTATACAAATTGATCACTTTTATTATTCACTGTAAAAGTTGTAATCTCACTGTTTCAATTGTTGTATCCTCCAGCCTCCTTCAATGTCCTAAGAATTTTGAACCTAAGCATTTATTCTACTCTTGTTCTCATTCTGCTGTTTGCATGATGAGATGTCTTCTAATTCATTCATTCTTATGATCTACCACATTTTGTAAGAGTTCCTTATGTCAGAAACTATTGTCTTTATTTTTTATCATATTTGCTCATCCAGATCCAGAAAGTACGTAACAAACGATTGAAAGAGCGTTATTTACATCGTCTCAAAGAAGTTGCTGAAGAAAACAATGGTAATGGAAATGAACGCCTTCTCTTTCATGGATCTCCTTTTATTAATGCTATTGTTCATAAAGGTTTCGATGAGAGGCATGCTTACATTGGAGGCATGTTTGGAGCAGGTATGTACAATCTCTCTTGTCTTCTCCCTCTTTTTAATGCTGCATCTTTCTCCTTCCAAATGTTAAGTGCATTCACATCTGTATTTGTTTTAATGTCTCTTCTTGATGGATACTCATTTTGGTCTACAATTTATTTACCATTTGTTTTACTTTCATGGCATTTTATCTAATAGTATTAAAACTTGAAATATTTTTCTAAGTAAAACGGTTTTAATAAGAGTGTTCCTCAATTATTGGTAAGATGAGAAATACTAAAAAAAAACTAACTTTGATTTCAGGAATTTATTTCGCAGAGAACTCTTCCAAGAGTAATCAATATGTCTATGGTATTGGAGGAGGTACTGGCTGTCCAGCCCATAAAGATAGATCATGTTATATATGTCACAGGTATGAGTTTAATTTTTGTATTTTGTAAATGTCTTTTTTGTTTTGCATAAATTCATTTTGATTCTAAGATATTTTTTTTTCATTGTTACAGACAACTGTTATTATGTCAAGTAACCCTTGGAAAATCCTTTACCCAACTTAGTGCTATGAAAATGGCACATGCTCCTCCAGGCCACCATTCAGTGATTGGTCGACCAAGCAATGGTGGACTCACTTTTCCTGAGTACGTTATATATAGAGGTGAACAGGTATGATATTGTTTTGACATTAGTTCTTGAAATAATAATAATAAAAAAAAAAAAAAAAACGTTGATAAATTAGGTTTAAGTCTTTAATCCAAATAACTTGTTTTGTAAGGAAATGTAAATCATGGATCAGCTTTTCCTCTCAAACAGTTTGTGAATTCATTTGCCCTGAGATGATACATAAAAATGTTCTTATGGTCCCTTCAAGTTTCGCATGAAATCAAATACTGTGGTTGGAAGAAATTAACATTTGTTAATTTCTAAACATGCACTAATCTTGATGAGCTGAGCGGTCATACCCTCAAAGATGCTTCTTGCCTCAAACACCTACTGGACCTAAAGCTCACTCCCAACCTCAAATGGAATGTGTATATTGATGTCATCATGAAAAATGCTTGTATCACTCTAGAAAATTCCTAACTCCTGCTGCTAGGCTCTTTCTTTAAAAGTCTTGTCAGAAAAAGAATGTGACGTATTGCTGCCATATCTGGGTTGGTGCTGCCCAATCCTCACTGTCCAGCCTTGACAAAGTTCAAAAGCCTTACAGCAATCTCATTCAATAACCCTCTACCTTGAATGGCCTTGTATTGGATGAACAGTTTAAAAAAAAAAAAAAAAAATTTTACACACACATACAATAATCTATGAGCAGATAAGATACAACAATCAACTAAGTAGCCACTGTGTTCACGGACTCCTTCATCTTTGCAAATGAACTAATTATTGCTTTAAAATATTTATCAAAGAATTATAGTTATTGAAATAAAAAATAAACTGCAATAATTGCATTTTGTGACTTTATAGAAAAAGTATTAGATTTTGTTTGTGATCCTGAAATTGAAGTTAATGTCTATGAATTCTCAAGACAATTTTAGGGAGCAGGTTAATGTTGTAAATATTTTCCTTTTTTTTTATTGGGCATGGTTTGATTGTTTATTTAGGGCCCGAATATAAGCCTTTCTAGATTTTTTTATTTTTTTATTTATTTATTTATTGAAAATGAATATGGCGGACATTATTTTCTTTAGATAATTTTTGCTATTGTATAATTTTCTAGCTTTGGGTGAAATTTTTTTTTTTAAAATTTTTCCCTTTGAATTTTATTCAGTAATGTAAATCTTATTTATTTTCACATCTAGGGTTACCCAGAGTACCTTATAAACTTCCAGATTGTCAAGCCAGACAGCCATCCAGAGAGTATGACATGACAGGTGAACTCTGCCAAAGTTCTTTCATCATTTATTTGTACATAGAAATATTCACATGGACTACAAATAATTCATTTTGTACAGATATTATTATATGATACAATGGCACTGAAATCTTTTCTTTTTTCTCTTTTTTACATAAAAGCTTTTCTGTCTCTTCTTCCTATGTCTGTCTCTTTCAATTTCCCCTTTTACTTCTGTCATTTCTCTTGTTTTCTTTTCAAACATCAATCTTAAATATATTTATTTATTTATATGCTCATTACTCATCTTTTTTTAAAACCATCCTTCTACCCCCAATCTCAGAGTATTTTCTCTCCCTTCCTTATCTCATTCTTTTTTAACTCCTAAAGCTGGAATCTTTTGTAGCTGAACTCTTCTATCATCCTTCCCTTTCCAACAGACATAATCCTACATCCCTGCTGATTGGGCTTTCAACCCAGACACATGATGACCTCTCAACCAATAGCACAGTTTAACAGGCCATTATTAACATTTTTTTTTTTGTTGTTTAAATCAGTTAAATAAGAGAAAAATGCCAAATAATTTCTGAACATTCCAACTGAAGGCTTCTTTTGTTCACATTGGAATCATTCACATTGGACAATGTAACTTTTATTTATTCAATCATACATTAAACTTCATCTATTCAAAAATTCTTTTGGTCACAAGGTTTAGAGGTTTGATATGGTTGAAATTCAATCTATTCATCTTGGATTTCTTTCCTTCTGACAGTCTTTTCAATTCAGCCTCTATATCTTCTCCACACTCAATGCTTGCTGAGGAAAGATTTTGTCAGACATCAGTGCTCATATTCAAATATTTTGGAATATATATTTTTTCCTCAATTTTTTTTTTTTTTTTTTTGTCTGATGGATTTGACTTGATGTGTCTTGTCTTGCACAAAGATGGTTGTCATGGTTAAGTACTGTGAAGGCTTCCTCCCTTTTTTTTTTTTTTTTTTTTTTTTTTTTAATCTTCTCTCTCTCTCTCTCACCACTGCTTATTTTTTCCTACCTTTCTCCCAGCAACACCCATTTATAAAATCCATACTTGGCTGCTCTAATGACCCTTACAAAGTAAAAAGCAGTGAAAACATATCGACAGTGATAGTGATTTTATTTTTATTTCAATTTTTATTATTAATAAAAAATGCTGTGAACCACAAAAGGGATTTTGTCTTCCTAATGCATAAAATGCAGAGCCAGTACAATTTGGTCCGTTGGCAGCTAAATTATTAATCAATCCTTCAGGTAGTGTCTATTTTGTTATGTTGATTTTCTCATATAATCTGATTTTTAAAAAAAATTTTTTATTTATTTATTTGCTCCATTCGAGACAGGTGGAGGAAAAGAACATATTTTTAACTACTTCAAACAACTTTTCCGAGCCAATACTTGTGAGAGAAAAAGGTCTATCTCTGTAGAGCACACTTTCCTGCATGAAGACAATTTAATTACTTGCTTGATATTAATGGCAATGTTAAGTTCTTCAGAACAGTTCTTATTTGATGTCTTAAAGAAATTCTCCATTTTTAAATAATTTCTTATGATTATTTCTATTTAGGAGCATTCTCTCTGTATTGAAATTCATTTCAGCTACCACCACTTAGAAAAACAAGTTTCATAATCTGCTTAGGTCTGTATTTTCAGTTTTAAAATTCTTACCTAGTTGCTCACCTGGCTTGGGCAATACTGAATGGATGTCAGGTGTCATAAGCAGGAAGTGCATGCTGTCACAGAGTAACACTAGTCACTATACCCACCCACCCTCTCCAATGACCTACTCTTTTTCCTTCTCTCTTTGCTTCCCTTTCTCTTCTATTTTCAACTCTTACTTCTCTCCAGTAAAGTCTGTGCATGTTGGCTTAATTACTATTACAAGAGACCCATGCCCCCAACAGGAGACAAGTAGAGTAGGTGAGATACAATGGTGTTCTGAAATATGCAGAAGCCTTTTGTGTTTTCTTTTTACTCTCTCATAGATTTTGGATGTCAAACTGATTTTCTGTTAAAGGCTAAAATGGACTTAAACTAGAACAAGTTGCTAACACTTGTTCATGTGTAAATACATGGTCTGGCAGAAATACCTCCTACAGGTAACAGTATTTCTGGGCTGCTGCACCTTGTAGATTCACTGTTTTTTATGAGATGTGTTGAAGATCCCCAAAAGAGTTTTACAACAGCAAGGCACAGTATAGATTCTATTCTTGTAGAACTTCATTCTGGGCACAATAGTAAATGATCAGCCAGCCATACCACGGCTGGGTGGTACTGAATATATTGACACCAGTCATCATGAATTACTGACACAGAGGCCATAGCTATTTAGTTTCTACTTTCCTGAAAACTGGCCCAGATAATAACTTCATAAATATATCTAACTGTCCCCTCATTCAACTTTCTTTGGACTCATTTCATTTTCCTATTTTTCCAATTATGTGTAGAAGAGTAGGGATAAATCACTTGACTAACATTTTTAATTTCTTTATCATAGGATAATAATAATATAATCTTTATTCATGGTGGTCTTTGTCCAAATTGTAATAGGCTATAGATAATGAAATATCCTATGTCACAAGTGTAGACACGATGGTAATGTGATGAGTACTATTTGATCTTGCTACTAAACCCTGGATTGAGCCTAGTTTTGAAGTACTTAGTTTTGATTATTTTACTTCTCAAACTTCCAATTACTACTTTGTTTAATTTAATTTATACGTATTCTTTCATGAGGCCTTTGTGTCATGTTGCTAATTCCTCTCGTTGCTAAATATAGTAAATCCTGCAAATCCCCTTCAGCAGTATCATCAGAGAATGTTTGTGGAGAGCAAGTTTTTTGTGTTTGTCTTTTGTAAGAAGGGTTGATGTCATTGAATTTTACTGGACTACTAGAATGCCCCCACCCCCAAAATAATTTATACATATGATTGATATTTACCTTTGCCTTAACCCATGTTTATACCTTTCCCAGGTGATAATTTTAGTTAACAAGCATGGAGTTGTCTTTCATTTATAAGAGGGGCATACTGAAAACTTCTTGACCTACCCATTTTGAAAAATCTGACCCAACATCAAAATTTAAAAAAAATATCTTTTCAGCACCTCCTCATACTATGCTCCCCTTTTATTTTTTAAAAAATGTTTATTTAATTTTTTTTTTTTAATAATTAAAAAATTATATCATTCTTCATATTTTTTTTATGAAAGCCAATGTGAATTTTATCAGATTAGTTTTGCTTGGGTTTATGAGATATCCAACAGACAATGGCAACTAAACTAGAAATTGTTACATGAAATGATTTAATTGTTAAAATTTTTGTAACAATTTAGTTTTTTTTCCACTTTCAAGGTATAAATTAAGCATTTTAGAAGAATATTTGTGCATTTTCTTTAATGAAAAATAATTTTTTTAAAAATAAAACCAGTGTATAAATTGCAATCTAATCATAGGAATTTTCATTAAATTCTGGTTTCCACACCTTAATATTTTGAGTTATATATCGGCAAGTTGGCTTTGAGAAGCTAATCTAAAGATCTGATTGTAATTCTCAAACATGTCGGCCAACATGAGTTCATGTTTACTGCCTGGATTGGTTATTTGAGATTACTCTTAGAATTAAGTAAAAGTAAGTTATTGTTTACTTTAGATTTGCTAAACAAACAGGACAGTCAGTTAATTTAAGGCAATCTGTGATTTATTTCACTTTTTTGTATTATGTAAATGGTTTTATGTCTGCTTCTGAGAGAACATTTGCTCAAGAAAGTTCTGTTTGATCATCTTACCTATCAGTCTTTCTCTTCTGGTATTGATTCCATAAAATTATGTCAAGTTATTGTTATAAATTTGCTTCCATCCATATATTGCCTACAGCTTGTCCTGTTTTATATAAATATATATATAAATATATTTTTGTTCTTATTTTCTGAAAATAATCCCAATGACTCCATCCTGTTTCTCATGTTTACTAAAATGATCCCTTTTGTAAATTTTAATTTTCAATTTGTTTTTATTTACATCAATATTTGACTGTTGCAAAATCCCCCTCAGTTTATTTTCTTTTAAGTTTTAATAGACTTGAATGCTTAAAATTATCAGTCTTGGATGTAAATTGTTCATTGGTAGCTCCCAATGTCAGCTTTTTTTTTTCTTTTTAAATGGACATTTTATAATGTTTTCTTCTTCTTCTTCTTCTTATAATTATTATTATTATTATAAGTTGTTTGTTGATGTCTTTCATAAGATCTTTTTTCATGTAAACTTTATTTGGGTTTTTGCAAAATTTAGATTTATTGTGTGACTATCAAACTGATAAAAATTAATTTTTAGGATTTTTTTTCCTTGGAGTTAGACCTTACTATTGAAAGACATGGCTGCTTATCTAATTAGTCAGGTGTGTTTGGTCACAGGGTTAGTTCAGTGTTGTGTGTGGGGAATCAAATCAGATTTCACTTGAATTTCTAATTAGACAACACCCTATGCTTCCAGATACTCATCAGAAATTTGTTTACACACACATTTTTATAATTTTTTTTTTTTTTTTTTTTATATCAAGATGTAACAATTTTCTGCTTTGAAACAATACAAAAATGCTGGCAATCCATGGGAGATAATTCTTTAGTGCTGTGACTACGTTTTTCTTTTAAGTTTCTTTTTAATTTCATAATAGTGGTTCATACACCAAAGATGGCAACCCACAATCCAACATCCTCTTCCTTTCTAGTCTTCCTATCTCTACCCTGCACCAATTTCTGTGCCTCAGACCGTTTGTCCTGGAAGTTGATCTCAGTACTGTTGACTTGATGTACATATTTCCATATAACTGTTTGCTATTTTGACTGCTTCAATATCACTAAACCTGCAGTCACAGCAGAACAATTCAGGAAGTTTAATAACTTTCAAATAAATGGTGTAAATATATCTAATTTATGCTTTTGTCTTTGTCTTTTCTTTTCTTTCTTTCTTTTTTATTCTTTTTTTTTTTTATTATGTATGTATGGCACAGTTTTAAATTTTAGAATTTGTATCAATTATGGCTATAAAATTTTGTTATGTATGTAATATAATTTAATAAGAACATTGTTAGTGTTTTTTTTAAAAAAAAAAGCTTCATTAAGATCATTTCATCACAAATCAACTAATGGCCACAGTTGGTGCTTTGAAAATGTTTTTTTTTTTTTTTTTTCTTTCTTCTTGGCCCTACTCAAAAATATACACAAATCTGGGTTATTATCGAT